ATATATATATATATATATAAAAGCTTGTGAGATATTATATTATAGTTACTTATTCTGTAAGTCTCTCTAGTTAAAGACTGGCATCAATATTATATGACTTTGTCTACACAACATTTTAATAGTGTTAGTCAAGTACATCCAGTGGGAATTTAGATTTTTTGTCGGAGCAATCTTGTTACGGAGAGTAGATCTCAATATCAACTGTATAGCTTGAATAGGCAGAATCATGTATGAAACAGCAAGCGAGACAATATACTTTCTCATTTACTTTAGTTTATGCCTCTATCATCTTTTAGAAGCATAACCTCTTTTATCTCATCTGAATGATTGGTCTGAAGCATTTCATGAGGGAGAATCGGTTTTGTTGGTAAAATTCTACTATTTCATTCACATACACGTTTTTATCAAAAATAAAGAATTACTATTATGCAGAGTCCCAAAATGACCTACCTTTAGTGAGTGGACATTAAATTCCATTGTTTACCGTCCTTTGTATCTTGAGTATGGTAAGATTTAATTGCTATTTACCATAAAATGTTGGGGATGATGAGGGTTTTTGTAACCAGGACTTGAGAATCACAACCGAAATGTTCTGAATTCAAATTCTGGTGTGGTCCAAGAAGAACCTTCAGGATGTTTCAAGCCTGTTTCACGCTTTCATGGTCTAATAGTTCAGATAATGCGAAAAGAATCAGGTCCACTGTACAAATTAGTAACTCAAGTAAAAAAATCATTGTTACTTGTAAATCTTAGCTTTGGAGAATAAGGACAACACTTTCCAGGCAAAATCAGAAATAAATATGGTTTGCTTAGTCTCACAAAATGACCCGATGAAAATGGTAGGTGAATATATACTCTTCAAAAAAAGTAGGGGATATTCAGAAACAATACAAAACTGCGGAAATGCACTGCTGTTTTTATTAGAGGTAACCAGTGTATGTTAATAACAGGCCACTTGCCTACACATGAACATACACATTTCATATGGGCAGCGTATCTGACGGCCCCATTTCACTCGCAAAGAGATACACCATCAAAAGTGAAAATGGACGTTTTTGATTTTTGTCTTAATAATGAATAATTGCTCCACCAATCCTCAGATATTCAGCAATTCGTTGAGGCATGCTCCTAATCAACCGTCCAATCACGATTTGGGGCAATCTGACCAAATCCTCTTGCAGTGCCACGGCCAATTCTTGCAGTGTTGTCCGTTGACGTTGACGTCAACGAACACGTCTCCTGATCAAATTAAACGTAACGCACTAAAGCAAAGATACGCTGAACAGTAAATCTTATGCAAGAACTTATAGGAAAGCAAACATGGATAGATAAATCAGCACGCGACAGTTTTCATCAACCCTTCCTTGAAGTGTCAAATTTGACAATGAACCCCTCCCACGTGTATGGCGCTGTTGCGTGTCGCATGTGCAGCTCAGTGGTTCTTCATCTGTGAACATACTCTAAAAGCATGTCAAGTGTCCATGACTATTTATCATATCACAACCTGCATAGGTATTTGCATTTCAATATCCCCTACTTTTTTTGAAGAGTATATATTTTCCCCTTATTTCAAATTGATTGTGGTTGGTCTAGCTCCTTCATTTTTGTACGTAGATTTTGAGAGGTGGGGGGGGGGGAATATTGTATTTTTTTACTGTGAGATGATTTGATTCTCTATTGTCTTTTATCTACATATAGATTATTATGGGTAGTTACAATCAATTTATATTGTTGGTTGAAATCTATTAATTCTCTTTATTCTTCTATGAATTTTCCCTTGTTTGTCTACATGACTATTATGATAGTGTGTGTTGGAGGGTGATCAATAGCTGTCAATAGAAAAGATGTGCCGTCTCTAGTTTTCTGTGATAATATTAGCGATGAATGATGATAAATACTGGCTTTAGCCACCACTTACTGTAGCACTAATCTCATGTTTTGACACCTCTTATTTCTCATAATGTTTTTAACCTGTCGTCTGCTTTTCTAGCGTGTTTCAACTCGAACCTATCAGAAATACACCAATATCAAGTGTGGCATTGCTAATTGAATATGTTCCCTTTGGATAAGGTTGGAATTTGATTAGTTACATGTATTTTAAGATGCTTTTCTTGCCAATAATCTTTTCTAAGATCACTTGTGACGTGAATCTAGAAAAAATAAACACAATACTTTCGATTGGTGTTTTGCAAAAAAAAAAAAAGAAAAAATCCTCAAGAGAAGACACAGTATTATGTTTTCCAAGGGGAATTATATTAGTGAGCGTAAAGCTTTGAGTATCTGATATTTATGTTTTGTTTTGTTTGCTATAAAATCTGACATCTTTATCCAAACATAAAGTTTTATCTTAAAGGAATAACTGAAAGTATACCAATGATCTATATAACTCAAATTATACCCATACTTTTTCTCGACTCTTTGATGAAAATGGGAGGGTATACACCGATACACGGCCACTTGTTCAGTTGAAAAGGGACAAAAATAACAAAATCATGATTTACATATTTATTTGAACATCTACAACCCGTTTTGAACATGTTATGGTAAAAGAGTCATCATTTTCAACTGTCTCAGCACTTTTCGAATGTGCGTCACTCTCAGTCATATTCTTACATTTTTTCTCACATTTCTTTACATTTTGATATCTAGTCGCACTTTCACATTTTGTCACACTTTCACATTTTATCGCGGCTTATGCTCATCCGCAGCACATAATCCAAATATTTTACTATTGTTGTGATTTTGCCCTGTATAATACAGGTGTCCGTCAGGATAACCGGGACTACTTCCACCTATTCACAGAGTCCCGTGCTACCAGCGGGATTTAACCTATATATTGCTGTTTTGCCGTGGCCACGGCTCAGATTGTGCTTCAGACTTCAAATAGGTAACATTGTTAGTTTATGCGAACGCCTTAGAACTCAAAGTGGGACTTGGATAAATACACTCGACACTACACTATTATAAATTAATCTCTTGGCATTTTCAACACTAAAAACTTTCACATTTCGTCGTGGTTTATGCTCATCCGCAGCACACAATTCAAATATATTACTAGTATAAATTAATCCATTGGCATTTTCTACACTACAAACTTGAGAACTCTACAATTCCAACTCGTCTTCATTTAATGGCTGTTCTTGTTTTTGTCTGTCAGTGGATGTCAATACCTCGCGAAGTTAATGAATTGATCTGTGCGGAAATTAGCCAATGTACCTTGCTTATCAAAAAAGTTAAAATCCAATCTTTTGTACTGATCTCGAAGTGTCACCATATTCATATGCAATTGGTATTTTTCCTCATGTTTGGCAGAATTCGACTCATCTGCATGGCTTTAATTTCTTGTTCTGTGAAGGATCGGGCTTCTAAATCTTCGCAATCATTGAAATCTCTTGCAGAACTGATATTCGCGGTCTTAGAAATATATATCTGTGACATTATAAAGTAGGATTCTTCGACGAATTCCCACATTCATGTCTGCCATCCACTACAATCGACACAGCCAGGGTATTAGCAAAACAACAAGAAATGGCTATTGTACAAAATGATTGGATGACGTTTGCTTTTCTCAACCAATCAATATCCCTTTTATAAACATTTTCCCTGACCTGATTTAAACTGTGAAATGCACGTGCGGTGTACTGACATCATTTACCTGAGTACAAATAAGTGTTTGCGATGAGATAATTGGGGGGCTCTAAATGGGAAACTTTGATAAATTTGTGAAATGAAAAATGATTTTGAAATTCGGAAAAATAGAAAAAATCTCTATTTCTCCAAAAAGTATTTAGTATAAGTCAGTTATATACCTTGTTTTCTCGGTGTATGGGTTGATACACCGTCTCCTTTTTGAGTGGAGATCTCCTCAGCTTCGCCTCGGAGCCCCACTCAAAAAAGAGACAGTGTATCAACCCATACACCTTGAAAACAAGGTATATAACTATTACGTATAGGCTCACAGGGGTTTTATGGTTAGGACACTAACCAGGATGTTCCTTTTACAAATTCTGGAATGGGCTGAGAGGAACCTCCATGATTTTTGAAACCCCATTTTGTTTAGAGATGAATACGGAAGTACATAGTCTTTTAGAAGGAACAAATAACTGAGATCCTGTATATAAATTGGTATTACTATTACACATTAAAGATATCTTTGCAATAGGCATTTGAGGAGTACCGAAAATAAAAAATCCAACAATCATTGATAGAATTGAAATAATTTGACATTAAACAAATGTCCTATCGAAAATCAATTTCTTGTCATCATCCATAAATTAGCAAAAAAATCCCTGAATAATTGTGGTTAGTCATTCTATAAAAGATGATACCACTATATTTTGTTTTTTTAGAAGAGCAGTGTTCTGCCATTGGACATTTCTTCAAATACACCATGATTCAATTCCTCAAATGAAATGAAATGGGGTTTAACGTCCTACTTTTCTGCACTGACTAAGCTAATGAAGATGGGCATACTTTATGTTAGGTGCTATGAGGGGAATTTTGCCTGGACAGCCCCGCTACAGACTACTCGTATGTCGATTTCAAAATCTTTTATGTGCATGCCAATATATACATCCAAACGACTATAGACACTGTCCTTGCTAGACCTTTCGTCCTGCACCACTGACAAGGAGAAACCGCGCAGAAAAATCATGGGAAGCTTTCTTAGCGAACACCGGAAGCAAACTTGAGACCGCCTGTTTAGCAAGCAGTGTCTTACTCCCTGGGCCACCGTGGCTCTTCAATGTCATAGACATTGTCAGACACAATTTCAGGATTTTTATGCACAATTCATGTTGTGCCTGTCATTTTGTCTGGCACTGTTTTTCTTGCTATTCATATTTTGTATTTGATATTCTTAATGCAGGTCCAGCGCACAGTTAAATAATATTTGGTACACTAAAATTATTATTTCATTTCATTGGGTTGGTATGTCATGTGCCCTTAAATTGACTGTGTACATGTATTCTCTACCTAATTATTTTATTTTTTATTTTCAGGCAAGAAGTCCATCTGAAATACATTGTAGTGTAGATTCTAATAAAGCTCAGCGTGAGCTCATTGGTCAGCTAGAAGCCAAAAACAGGTACAAATTTCTTCTACATATTAAATGACAGTTTTGGTTGGGCCAATTAAAATTAAATACTTGTTTCTCATCACTGTATGTTCTGATTTTTGTTACCATCTGAATAATTTTTATTTGTTATATATTCTTGAAAATCACAAATTTACGTGTCAATTGTACTGATTAGCAACTTTTAACATCATGCTCATGCGTTATAAGAATCTTGTATTTCTCAATAGTGTAAGTTTATAATAACCAAAGTTAAGTAACTTGTTCATAATCGAAGAAATCCGTTTAAAATTTATGATGGTTCAGACTGTACATGGTAGACTCATCATTGTCGAATCGTCAATATATCACTTCAGTTTGATCCTATTGGTTAACTTGACTAATTATGGAAACAAAAAAATTAAAAAGAAATTCTCCACCAAATAAGTTATTAATTTAAATTGATTGAATTAGACTTTTGGTGTTTTTGCCTCTTATTTTTTGTATGTTGTAGAATCTTGGTAAACATGCTTGACTCTACTGATGTGAGCTTATCGTTGAAATCCGAGCCAAATGTCTTTTATTTAATGTTGGCCATGATACCATATGTGATGTTGTAGCTAGATAAGTGTCTCCTAATTAGAGAGAGACAAACTAGTAGTGGTTATAGTTGTTTATTATAGTTCAAGAGGTTTTTATAGATAGCTTAAAAACATATCAATATCTCATGTTCAGTGAGGAGACACAGTGGTGTTGGTATAAAGGTCTGATAAGAAACACTACCCTGTGTAGTAAAGTGTGTACACACGTCGGCATGCATGTAAAAGAACACTTGAAAATTGAAATTCAATGAAGGCAGAAATGCTGCTGTCCAGACAAAATTTTCCTCATACTCTGCATGATATCAGCATTTCTTCATTAGCCCTAGTTGGTGCAGAAAAGTATCATAACTGATAATCTGGTACTTTTATTAAATTTTATTTATTTCTGATAATAATTACTGAAAAAATGAAAAAAATATTTGACAACCCTTGTGGACTGCTTGGATGACTTAACTGCTGTGGGTATGTGTATCATTGCCTTGCTCCCTATCTTTTTTGTAAGTTCGGTAATGGATTAAAAGCACCTGGCCTATCTATATAGGCATGAAAATATCAATGGTTTTGGCTACTTTAATGCAGGGACCGTGCAATATAAATACATTTATATTTTCATAAAATTTCGTCATTTCTCATAAAATTATCATAAAATGGAAAAATATCATAAAAATATAAAATTTCACTATCTCATCAAATGAGACGAAAAAAAAATTTTAATTATAAAATTAACCATAAATCGCTACACCAGGCATTTTATGACCCCCAGCTTGCTGCTCTCTTTTATTTAATATTTGACAGTGTTCAGTTAATGTTATGATAGTATATTTATATGAAATGAAATTAAATGAAATTTGGGTTTATCGTCCTACTGTTCTGCTCCGACTGGGCTAATTTTGCCTTGACAGCGGTGCTAAGGCCTACTCTTACATCAAATTCCAACTGCCAAGGGATATTTTACATACACGCCTATGTGTACACAGGAACTTGGTTTTTCATACCATCCGAACAAGTACAACTATAGACAGCTGTCCTTGTCAGGCCCTGCGTCCTGCACCACTGACAAGAAGAAACCACACCGGTAAACCCTGATGAACTTTCGTGGCCAACACCAGGAGCGAACCTGCGTCCTCCAAGCTAGTGAGCCAGCATCTCACCCACTCACCCACCGTGGGTATATGGACATAGAATATCATTGATATTACTAGTGCTATGGTAGGACGTTTTTATCCGCATAACACTGGCTGAACACTGTCAGTGCTATTATATAAACAAAAGTCATAATATTTGATAATGATAAAAACTCAAAAAAGTCATGAAATGTGACTGATAAAAACATTATACAAATATCATAAAATTTGATAAAAACATCATAAAAATCATGAAATTCCACGAGAAACTTTCATAGAAATATAAATTTATGACAAAATTCATGTCCACAAGAGGTATTTTTCAGAAATGAAATGAAATGCGGTTTTATGTCCTACTTTTCTGCTCCGACTGGGCTAATAAAGATAGATATTTCATAAAAGAATACATTATCTATAGGCTGGTCTATAGGTTGATGGTCTTTATCAGTCAATGGAATTGTGGGTAAACATTGCTGACGACGGCAAATATTGTGGGTATTGTTTGAAGGGAAGAGCTTCACGCTAACAATCTCTACAGCTATTATATATATACAATTGACAGTAATTAGCGCATACCTGAATCGGCTACAATCGGAAACTAATGTTGACAGTAAACCACACACTGTCAATAAATTATTTTCTCTACGTATTAAAATCAATGTTAATATGTATAGATATTTATGCTTTACTGGATTCCCTAGTTAAATTATTTACATGAACACCAAAAATCTCTATCACTATAATCAATGTAGTATTTAGGTCAGATTGCAGCGATCAACCTGCAGCAGTCATTGTGTAATTTTATTGAATGATTGTCTATCTGATTGAATCTTTCTGCCAATTTGGTTTCAAGAATAAAATTGATCATGCTGGTAGGCGAGGGTAGAAAGACAACTTCCTGTTTGACTCAAGTCATTGATTAAGAAGTGATGGTAGAACTGTACGCTTGATTAAGTCTTTCATTTACTTCGTAAAAAACAAATGATTCCAATTTTAACGGACATTAAATATTTTTTTGATGACAATAATAAATAACCAAACAAAACATCATCTATCTAATTCAAGCATCATGGGGGGTGATTTTCCAGCAGAGAATTGGAAGAAAAGGGTAAAAAACTTTTTGAAATAGAATCCCTTTAAAAAAAATATATAATTGAAATAAAAGATACATTACATAAGATTTAGATAAAGAACCAGCTATTCTTGCTATAATGGTTCAAAAAACAATAATGCAAAATGGCTATATTGAAAATTTCATTCAAATTACTTTATTCTGGGCCTGGCATAGTCGAAAAACTGAGGTCTCTTGTAAACAGTGGTGTGCACATTGGAATTCAATATAAGGAGAGGCCGTAGGGCTGCTGTCCGGGCAAATATTCCCTGATATCACACTGTATGGCATATGCCTGTCTTCATTAGCCCAGTCGGAGCAGAACAGTAGGATGTTAAACCCCATTTCATTTCATTTTACTTTTTTTTGAGCGAAGTTATCAATATTTGTAGTTTTGACAAGATTTGTGCATTGATTGTTTATTATCATAACCTAGAGAGTTCATTATGGTCTTGTTGTGTTAATAAATGTCTAATTAATAATTTATATAACATTTAAGGCCTAAAGAATGACCTGCAATGCAGATTTAGCTCTTGAATAGTGCCTCTTTAAAACCTAATGGGACATGATCACTATAACAGTCTTTGTTATGTTTAGTGGTTTTGATTCCGAGTAAATTATTGAAATAAAATTGAACCAAATGTTAGTCCTGAAATGACCTAGTTTGTGTCAAGTGGATGTCAAACTCCATAGTGCTCTCTCTCTCTCTCTCTCTCTCTCTCTCTCTCTTTATCTAAAGAAGAGATGGTCACTATTTTCTGAAACAGATGGCTCTTTAAAGTTTTGGTGCACACAATTTTGTTAGTTTGGTTTAATAACATAGAAGTTTTCTGAGGCCAGACTTATTGACATACACAGTACATGATAAAACTCGGAATAACATCAGATAACTCTTGACGAAAATAGTACAGGTCCTACTTGATAAATCGGATGCACAACAAAAGACATGAAATGACATAATAATGACTTAATTGACATTTATCAGATGAAATCAGCAGAGATTAATGGCCTGAAAACCAATTTCTGAGCACATGATCTATCATTTTTCATACACTATGTTCAAAGTAATGATTACTCTATTTCTGTGCTTATATGTAAACACTCAGTCTGTCATTATTTAATCATTTAGAAGTACACAGTGGAATATGTAGTATTGGTTGTAATGTTTATGTATGATTTTAGATATTGCACATGTATGCACAGTTAAAAAATTATCTTTGTAGTTTATACTCCCACATGGAAATATGGTTGTATATTGCCGTTCCCTCCATCCGTCCGTCCACTATTTCTTGTGAACACTCTACAGACTAAATTTATCATTTGATTGTTTTGGAATTGATGTATGTGTTTACATTAGTGAGATGAAGAATCCTATTTAATTTCAATAATATCTGTTAGTTTCTTCTGGAGTTATGGCTCTTGTTTCACTTTGTTGCACCTTGTGAACACTTTAACGACAAAAGTTATCATCTGATCTGTATGAAATGTATATGCATCATTTAAATTAGTGAAACAAAGAAGTGTTTTGAATTTCAGCAATTTCTGTCAATTACTTCAAGAGCTTTGGCCCTTGTTTTACTTTGTTAAACCTTGTGAACAAAAGTTATCATCCGATCTGTATGAAATTTATATGCATTATTTTAATTAGTGAAACAAAGAAATCTATTGAATTTCAGCAATTTCTGTAAATTACTTCTAGAGAAATGGCCATTGTTTTGAATTGTTGAACCTTGTGAAAGCTCAATTGACAAAAGTCATCATCAGATCTGTATGAAACTTATATGCATTATTTAAATTAGTAAAATGAAAAAGCTTGTCAAACTTCGAATTTTGTTTTAATTACTTCCAGAGCCAAGGCCCTTATTTCAGTTTGTAGCACCTTGTGAACCCACAAATGACGAAAATTATAAACTCATCTGTATGAAATTGTCTTGTAAATGCCCCCCATTACCTACAAAAGATTAAATATACGACAACCTTTGTTGGCCGCTCAGACGATTTAGCTGCTGTGGGTGTATGTTTCTTTCCCTGGCAACCTATCTTACACTCATTTAACAGTAGCATATCTTACATCACTATTATAGAGTATTACTAAAATACAATTTAGTGATGAATTATCACTGTTATAGGGGATTACTAAAATACAATTTAGATATGAATTATCACTGTTATAGGGGATTACTAAAATACAATTTATAGAGATGAATTATCATAAAATAAATGTAAGTAATTTGGATAATAGGATATTAAGAATAACACTAGAATCATGTGATTATCAAACATCCAAGCACTGACCTACTTTTAAAGGTGTGTGGGAAAACACTTTGAAAACTTCTAAACATTTGTTCAGCTCAGAAATCTAATTTTAACACCTCTCTATACATATATATATATATATCAGTACTGAATGTTTAAAATTTGACATACAATCTTATTTGAACATGCCAGATACTTTTAACGTCCAATCGTAACAAATCAATAATCTGTGGGGTTTTTACCAATTATCCATGATCTTCGATGTGTTTAATCTAATCCTTTAGTGGCATTTAGCAATTGGAAACATAACAAAACTATACAGTTATATGGGACAACAATCACTGGTTTATTATACACAAGCACGACGTTTCGATAAGTATTCTCTTATCGTTATCAAGCTTGATAATCGATAAGAGAATACTTATCGAAACGTCGTGCTTGTGTATAATAAACCAGTGATTGTTGTCCCATATAACTGTATAGTTTTGTCTTCGATGTGTTATTGTCTCTTTAGATTAACTATGTGTACAATGTATTTTGTATTTTTAACACTTAAGCCAGTGTACCTGTAGATTAAAACTTTAAACTCAGAGTATAGATTCATTATACCAAATAGCTTGACTAAATTTGCTGATGAGAATTTTCTGCTTAGGCTTAGTAACAATAAGCAATTTGATTGGTGAAGACTTTGGAACATAGCCTGCTTTTGATTGAGGTAGAATGTTTAAACTTGGTTTAGATGTTCATAAGGTGAATGTTTTGACTGAGTTCAGTGATTAACATTTTCTGCTAAAGCTAAGCAGAGTTAAGCAATTTCATTGGTCGATGCTTTTGGACAAGATAACTTCGATTCTAACTACGGTACTTTGAAACCATGACTGAGTTTGATCATGTACATTTTCTGCTTAGACTAAGTATAAATCAGTTTGATTGCTTAATATATTTAAAAAAGATAACTTAATGCGCAATTAATTAGTATGTGTCATCTATTTATTTTGGGATATTGGCAGGAGACATCAGTGTCACTATTTGCTTGTTTTTCTAATTGTAGCAGACTTCCTATATAAAGTACCATGATGTTTAATCTCCACTCAACACAAATTAGGTCAATTTTTTTATCTCAAGCAAATACATGTATCATTTATACTGATGAATTTTGTATATTTTTATTTGATTTATCCTCAGGGAGATTATGCGAGAAATCCAAAGATTGAGACTGGAACAAGAAGCATTTGCTCAAGAAAATGCTGAAGCACAATACAACCCAACATTGTTAGCAGAACTAAGAATATTACGACAAAGGAAAGATGAACTAGAATCTAGAATGCAATCGCTACAGGAAAGTCGTAAAGATTTAATGGTACAATTAGAAACTCTGATGAAACTATTGAAGGTAATTATTACAAAAATTAATCTACACAAAGTAATATATTGTATCTCAAGGGCAAGTTTTCTCTTCTAGGACAGTTCCTGGTAATTTTAGGGCAAATCATATTCAGAATTGGTTTTGAGTTCTAGGCTGAGATCATTTTAAGGGAAATAGCATGCAGATCAGAAAGATAAAAACTGTATCATATTTGGGCTAACATATGTTACAATTTTATTTCAATAATTCGCTTGCATCTAGTTGCATTTAGAAGTAGGAGGACCTGTAGAAAACCCACAAGGTTAGACAGACAACCCTACTCCTTGTCACATACAATTACAAATATGAATTCCAAAATCCACACCACATGATCTTATGATCACTCCCCCCCCCACCCCCACCCCCTCGCAGGCTCGCACACACACTCACACTTGTGTATTAATTTAACAGAATGAAAGTAAAATTTGAACTAATTCACATAAATAAAACCTGTAGATAGTCGGAGACAAGAATCCGGCTCTGAAGTGCACTCTTTTGAATCCAGTATATCCGTCTTTGTTTATGTGGGCAGTAAAACTAAAAACATGATATTAATTAAATCATATAGTTCACTAACATGTACTTCATGTTATAGAAACCACTGACATTTATATTCACATCAATATAGCTAAGACATGAAAAACTAAACCACAAACAGGTTCATGACATTACAGTTTTCTAACAATAAGGCTGAAATTCTTTTCTTTTGCTATTCAAATTGCATTAAAAATGAATGTTGCCTAATTAACAATAAATGTTGACTCAATTAACAATAAATTTTGACTCAATTAACAATAAATGTTTTAAACAATAAAAGTTTGTTCTATGAATGTCAGTCAAAATAAGTATGATTGACATGGACCTGTTGGACCTTTAAATAATAATGATATGCATACAGTGGCAATGATTATGTGACGTAGCTAGCTGTAAAGAAATTGTTTGATAATAAATGTGGACTCAAGTGAAAAAAGCTATACATATATTGTTTACATATTGTTTCACCACATTTTAGGAGTTCAATTGTTTCGGAAAATTATTAGAATTATTTGCAGTTTTAAAGTGAATTAGCATTTCCATTAGCAAGACCTTGAGAAACTGTATACAATTAATTAACATAATCCACATATACCTCCAAATTTTAAATTAAATAACTAATCGAACAATGATAATTGTCAAGTGTTAGTGTTTCATTTAAAAAAATCTAGTAGCAGTGATTATCAAGGTAGCTGTGTTTTATTGAAAGTTAGCTAATAAAAATAACGGTGAATTATGTTGTATTTTTATACTTCAAGTGCTATTGATTTTTTCCTGTTTTTCACCCAGTTCTTTATATGGTTGAGTTCAACCCGTTTCTTTATAGATATAGCTACTGTCACATAATTATCACACACTGTATACAAATAATTATTATTTAAAGGTCCCATACAACAATTTTAATGATACCTTTAAATAAATGATAGACTAGCATATACTGTTCAGACTATAAATATTAAACTAGTTCAAAACCGCAGGTATTTTTAAGCCAGGAGAGTGTAGTGTTCACACCAACTTTAAGCCCAGCCAGCTTAACTATTTTGGCTTTGTTGTTAAACGGTTAAAATTAAGTACACATTGGCACATTCTGTCATTTTCCAATAAGATAACTTACTGTGCATGTTTGTTTGAAAGCTGACCTATACAGATAGCCAAGATAAGTAAGGTTAAAGAGGCATTATGTGATATTTAGAGAAAGGGCTGTATATATATATAGTTCAAAAATAGGTAATGTGAAATGACTATATTAAGAATTTCAGTCAAATTACAATACTCTGATCGAAGTTATGAATGACTACTTTTATCGGGTATCAGGCAGTGAATGCAATTATGTTTGTATGTAATCCAAATACTGTAAGACTTTTAATATATATAAGTATCGTAACACCCCTATTTGAATATAACGCTACTGTTTGATCAAATATGTTAGGTATTTTATGTCCTGATAGATACTCCATCTTCCCGAACTGCCTTCATGAAACACTGCTCCAGCAAAGAAACACAGATCCTATTTTGTTTCTTTTTTTTTTAGTTCAAAATTTCGTTTTACTTGTCTTCACTACACTAGGATCTGGAAGAGTTGTTATATTACTGTCATTTTGGTCTGGAATGTTGGGGTTTTAACTCACCTTGAAATATCTGATGAAATATCTAAAACAAGTTAAACCATCAGTAGCATTGATCAAACACTGCTTTACATTTTTTTTTTCTTGTTTTTTTTTCTTCAGAATCATCCAAGTTCTCCTCGTTCCACACCAAATAGTTCTCCACGATCACGAAATGCCATGTCACCAACTATTGTAAACAATGCCAACAATAAGGGTAGTTCACCTAGTACACCCATGGAATCATCTCTAACTGGTCTGGGTGGTGATGTTCGACAAGCATTTAATCAGAGACCGTCTGTTAGTAATCCTGGGAATTTACGGCAAGACTTACTTGTTGCTGCAGATTCTGTAACAAATGCCATGTCGTCTTTGGTGAAAGAACTTAATTCTGGTGAGTTCATGAGTAACAGTGGGTTATCTTGATGTCAAATTAAAAAGTGATCTTTTCGATGTTATGCATAAACCTATTGATTGATCTTCAACAATTTCTGATGATTATTTTCAGAGTTAACGCTCTTGTTTACTTTGAAATTTTATGTGGTCTGTATTTAGTCTAAAATATTTGGTGTTGTTTATGTTAGGTCTAGAAAGAAATCTGTCAGATTTGAATGATTTCAAATAATTTCTGCATAGGTAGCTGCCCTTGGCCTCTTTTAGTGTCATATTAATTAACTAGGTTTAATTAAAATTAATTAAGAATTAGAATGTAAAACCCTTTATGGACCACACAGGCAATTTACCTGCTGTGTTTGTATCATTCTTGGCCTAGCAACCTGTCTTGAACCCTTTAGCACTTGGTACACATAAATATTGACTAGCTCCTTAATGAAAATTAGAGCAAATATACCAGTACATTGGAAGACTGAAACTGCTATTCAGTTGACCGCCTCAAAACTCCCAAGATATGTAATAGCATTCCGTATTATAGGGCCATTTACTACTTTTTTTTAGGTGCAACAGCTGTGCACTTGACAGAGTGGTTTACAACAGTCTGAGTAGCACTAGTTAGTGTGGTCTATGTACTAAAGGGTTATTATAGGATTTCCCTCTATCCAGGATCATTTATATTTTAGTGTCTAAATTTTGTATTTGCCAGTATCATTTATATTCGGTCCTATAAAATCTTTACATGAAACAAATATATCTCAATTTTCAAGAAACCAAACATGTTATATGATAATGATAATTTGCTATTGAGTGAGGTTGATATTTGAATAGTTTCTGCTGAAATGTATTACTTAGGATATAAACATACAAAGTTGGAGGGATTCACAATATTTAAATAGATATTCCATAAATAACAGTATCTTTTTATATGCCCACATTTTCATGTGTACGTATATTGTCGTCACCCCTGTTCATCCATCCGTCAGTCCACAATTTGTTTGTGGACACTCTACAGGTCACAATTTTTATCCGATTTTGACAAAACTTGTGATACAGGTTTATCTCCCAAAGAGCTCAGTTCCATTTGATAATGGCATATATCGGACCCTAACTTATGGATTATGGCCCCTGATTGTACAAATACGACAAATCACATTTTTAGCTTGTGGACACTCTAGAGGTCCCGACTTTCATCTGGTTTTGATGAAACTTGAAATGCATGTTTCTAACCCAAAGTTCTTGGTTCCTTTTGATATTATGAATTATGGCCCCTGATTGTACGAAAAATCACGTTTTTATCTTTGGTCCCTCTAGAGGTCAGAATTATTATCCGATTTAAAAAACTGTTCGAATATATTACCATTGGTTGAGTTCAAATTTCGTGAAAATCAGACCAAAACTGCCCCTCGTATGCAGATAGTGTAAATATTATGGTATATCAATGCTGTGGACCCTCTAGAAGTCACACTTTTGATCCTATTTTGATGAAACTTGGAATACATGTTTCATAACTTCCTGAATTATGGCCCTTGATTGTACAAAAAATAGCGTTTTTAACTCGTAGTCCCTCTAGAGGTCACCATTTTTGTCTGATTTAAAAAAAAACATTTGAATTTATTATCTTTACACCGTAATGCTGGTTGAGTTCAGATTTCGTGAAAATCAGACCAAAACTGCTGGACAAAATGACTGCCCCTCGTACACAAATAGTGTAAACATATGGTATATCAAGGTTGTGGATCCTCTAGAGGTCATAATTTTTATCTGATTTTGATGAAACTTAAAATATAATTATGTTTATATCTCAAAGATCTTGGTTTCTTTCAATAATCGCATACATCAGACCATAACTTCCTGGATTACGGCCCTTGATTGTACGTAAAATCATGTTTTTAGCTTGTGACCCTCTAGATGTCACAATTTTTGTCTGATTTTGATGAAACTTAAAATATATGTTTATATCCCAAAGATCGTGGTTCCTTTTGATATTGACTTCCTGAATTATGGCCCCTGATAGTACAAAAAATCACTTTTTTAGCTTGTTCTCTGTCCTTCTTGTTATTCGATTTTGATGAAACTTAAAAGATCTGGGCTCTTAGCGAATATCGGACCGTAGCTTCCAGGATTATGGCCCCTGATTGTACAAAAAGTCGCTTTTAAGCTTGTTCTCTGTCCATCTCTTGCAAAATGTGGGCATATCTTGCATGGCAACCACTTTTTTTTCATAATAAATGTTATCAAAAACAGAAGGTAAACCTTGGTTGAGGGTACACAGACTTTAACATGTTTAAAATATAAAGAATCACATTTTTGAAGTGTCATATTTTGTCAGATGTCTCCACAAATAAATCACATGATTAACTTCATTTAGAAGTATTAGCTAGAAATATGGTATAATCCATTCTGTATGAATAGAATTTTAAAAAGCTAATATATTTTTCTGATTGTTTTAAAATTGACATTAATGTCTGTGATGAGCTGAGGGACTACGAGTTTGATTATTATAGCTGTGTTAGAAATGTCAAAAGCCCTAAAGCCCACGTATGGAATATTTGTGTAGAACATATGGCCTAATAATGGAGAGTATAATGTGTATGATAGTTATTAGAGCTATGTCAATATGGCTAGAGATGTATAGAATCAATGTAATAGTACTAATTGAGTGTACTTCTATCTCCAGAGAATAGTGATGAAGATGAATATGGTATAAATGGTCAACAGTCAGGTAAGTTATAGATTATCTATAAACAACACCAGGAAAAACAATCAATATTATATCCTTGTATATTGTTTATTTATAAGTTTTTACAAGGTCATTGAAGGAATGTCAGAAAATCGTGAAGTTACATTTATAGTCGAATGTACTGTTCTGGTTTTGCCCAGTGTCTAATATTTTTAAAGTTTTTAAATACCTTGCCCTTGACCTTTTTGCAATTAAAATGGTAGACATACATAATGTACAATAGACCTAATAATAATAAGTAGAAAAGAAAATTTTGTACATCACAAAAACATACAACAGCAATGTAAGATTTATACTAATGTTAGGTAGTTAAAAGATAAAAACAATGAAAAAAAAACGTGAAACAACATATTAAATTAATTTAGTGATGTTTTAGAATTCACAAATGATTGTCAATACTTTTTTTTATATAAAGTAAAAAGTTATTCAGCTATTGTTCCTATTATATTCTGTGACCAAATCCTTCTTAGTTAATATTATTGCAATGCATCCCCATCAGTTAACTCTCACATTCCTCAAACCTAACTTATCCATTAACAGAACACTAAATGCTACTTAAAGATTAAATTTGATCCAATTCGAACATTTTCAACTAAACAGTGTTCTGTTTACACATTAGAAATGGTAATTTGATTGATCAGTGTGTTTTAGTGTCTTGCAGGTGGTCAAACATGAATAGTTATTAGGATAGTACTCAAAATTAACATACCAGAGAGAAAAAGTTGATCTGTTTAATTTAATGCATGATGTATATATTTTGTTAATATTTATTTCGGAACTGTTATTTTAGTTATGTACGAGTCTGATGCCATGATCCGATCTACAGGATCAGAAGAGATGGATTCATGGAAAGATGATATTCAATGGAGATTAAAACAGGAATCCGAATTTTTAGCACAGTTGCGAGCTAGAAGACAAAGAAGTGCCAACAGTAGTAGAGCAGGAAGTGATACGGATACAGATAAGTAAGTAGAAGTAAATCTAAACATTGAATGATGTTAACGATTTAGTTGAATAATAAACATGGGCTAGTCTCATTCTCTCCTGACTAAATGGTCTCTTCTTTAACTATAAGTTCCGAGTAGAACAGTAGGACGTTAAACTCCATTTCATTTCATTTCATTTTTTTAACTATAATGAATATTGATCTTTATAAAATAATGTGCATTATGTCTTAAGATTTGTCGACAGGAAAAACGACATTCACCTTGTATTTGAATTATATAGAATGCATCGTTAACCAGTGGATGGAGAAATATCCCATCAGTGATTGTGTGAACTGTTTTCGCTAACAACCAGTTAATGTATACACAATGGACACTATTTTTTCCAGATAAATGGAGACAGTTTGAAAATAGAGCAATCAAAAATAACCATGGATTGTCAAATGGGACTCCTGTTGCTTGATATATGCCATCGTTCTCAGGCTACTTTGAGAGTCCTAAAAATTATGTCATGCAGTAGAGTTATTGCCCCTTTGACTTGGTGATACTCTTGCCTATTTCTACACATTTTCTGGCCAGAACAGACTCAAAGGTACTCGTGGATGTATGTTTCACACACTGAAAGATATAGAGATGTAAAATTATCTATTTTTATTTTAGCTACATTCCAACAGATGATTGTGATTCATATGTTAGAACAGATGATGAGAGTGCTCTAGCTACAGATGATGCAGAATCATTTCTAAATAACGATAGAATGTTCCGATCACTGGAAGAATCAGAATTAAGTTTACGTGATGGACACACAAAAGTAAGTACTTGCTACATTTTATCAATGTCTATTTCGTACTCATTTTTTTAATGTAACCATATAAAATTTTAACAGTATGCATTTTGGTAGGTATTGGAAGGACAGGGTACATAAAAAGAATAGTTCTTAGATTCTAAAATACCGGTATATGGAAAAATCTTCTGTTAACCTTTTGATTCAGAGTTTAATTATCTTTCAAGTCATGTCATTTTGTTTTAAAATATAAAGATCTTCAAAGGAGAGTAAGACAGTCAATTTCTGCTTCTGCTACCTTTATGTACACAGATCTCGGTGCAGAAAAGTAGGACGTAAAATTCCATTTCATTTGGTCAATAACTTTACACATTGTGGTCAGGTTGGTACTGAATGGTATATAGGCTGTGAAAATATATAGATGATTATCACGGACCATGATGTATGTATACATGTCCAATTAAAAACATCCACTATTGTTGTGTATGTGAATCATTACAGGATGTTATGACAAGTAGTAGATATACAACAGATGAAGAAAGTTATTTACAAACTGATGATGAATCTTTTATAAGAACAGATGATGAAGAAGGTGGAGGTACTGACTGGGAGGAATCCACAAGAAGATGGATTAATCGTTGAGAAATTGCAAATATATATAAAAACTTTAACCACATAGAGCCCCAATTATATCCATTCCTGCTTGTTTTGAATGAGTGACAGATGAAGTGGAATACTAGAGAATAAATGTTAATAGATAATGAGAAAGATTTTGTTAAATGATAGTGTTATATATTGTAATGTAGATACAATTGTTAATGATTTACCTCTTATACAATAACTGTTGATATAAATATAGATAGACTCCATCATGGCTTACGTTTTAAATCAATCTGATTAAAGCACAGATCCTATTTCATTTTGTCTTTTATTGTTCAAAATTTCGTTTTACTGGTCTTTATTAATACACTAGGATCTGGAAGAGTTGTTATATTACCGGCGTTTTGGCTGAAGTGGGATAAGGCAACTTTCTTGGCGTGCCATGCACGGAACTGTGGGTAAACCACTAGAAATGTCAATGCTGATTGATTAATCAATGTCTGATGTCATAGGGTCAAAAGTCGCTCATATGACCCCTGACACAACCTACCAGTACATCTTGTCAGATCTTCATGTGTAGGCAAAAACGAAACGAAATATAGATCTGTATTTTAATCAGATAGGTTTTAAATATACATGACTGAACACTCTCCCACATTAAATATACCAGTGGAAGCAGGTGATTTTATTCTTGTATGATATTATTTTATTTATTAAAGACACAGTGGGTTAGAAGAAAGTCAATAAACATTTTCCTATTTTAAATTTAACAAAATCAAAGATGCATTATGTAAGATTTTGACACGACAGTTAATAAATAGATAATGAAAAGGGAATATGTTGAAAATTTCAGTCCAATTACTTCATTCTGAGCAGAGTTATGGCCCTTAGAAGAACAGTGTAGTCTCGATTGTCTTTGCTACCGTTGTTACGATAATAAACACAGTCTTAATTATCTTTTTTTTTTAGTGAAATTATTAACTGCCGATCTGATTAAATCCATTTATATCACTACCATCCAATGGTCTAGAGAGTTGATTATGGGCTTGTCGTATAAATAAATATCTAATTAATGATTTATTTAACCCTAGCGGTTGACCTGACTTAGCATGGATATAGTTATGAACCGGAAGTAGCATAATCCTGAAACCGGAAGTGGTAGTCCATCGCCACCAGGCCTGTGTTACTGCCTGGTCTGAGCTATCCCTATATACCAAATTTCAGCCAAGGGACACCCTAATGTAGCCGCCAACCCAAAACAGACAGACACAAACAACAGACAGTCACAAATATTAGTATAGATTTGTCGGAGCAGAACAGTAGTACCTTAACCCCATTTCATTTCATTTAGTATAGATTTGAGGAAAAACAAAAGATCTGCATTAGGCAGATTTAGCTCTTACATAATGCATCTTTAAGAGCTAAAAGTGATCATTAGATAGTCACTTCAACATTAGAAAAAAAACCTAGGTTACATACCATCTTGACCTTGATGTTAGTGGATAGAAATGAGTTATTATTTGTATAACTTTACCGACAATTACATGAAATTAAAGTTGTCAGTAGGAAATCAGTGGAATGTAATTTGAACATTAGATTGATTGATTTTATCATTTTTGGATTAATAGATTTTTTGTTAAGACTAATTTTAATTGTGTATGATCTGAAATTTTGCTTGAATTTTCAAGGAAAAAAAAATTCAAATTAGAATTATTTTATTTTTATAAGTAAGCCTTACCGGTAGATGAATGTAATGTATATTATTGTTTAGATGATTCACACAATTGATATCTAATTAAAAACATAGCATTCATTACTTCAAGATATATATAATAATATAACAATAGAGTTTATAGTCAATATCCTTCATAGAAAAAAAAAACAATTAAACGAGATAAAAGGAAAAGCTCAATAACTTTTTAAACATAAGCCATGTACAGGTATTGTTCAATAGTGTTAACTCAATAGCTTATGGCGTATTGTAATATTTATGTAATAAACATTAAAATCTATAAAATTAATGAACAAATGTAATGTTATTTCAATGTAATATTGATCCAGTTGTGGAAAATAATATTCCATTTATTTGTCTCTATTTTAGGTCTAAAAATATGAATATTTCTAACCAGGTTACAATTCAAATTGACAACTTTGATTGATTGATAGTTTTGGGAGAAAAAATTAGATCGTTTAAATCCAATATCGTTTTTTTATTGTCATCCAAAGATGAAATAAAGGGAGATAACCTGATAGATTTGGGTCCGTCTGATTTGATGCTTTATCTATTTATATAGTTTGTGTTGGTATGTACATATATTTATGGAAGCTTAGTCCCTTTAAGCTAAAATTATGAGATTTTAATTGTTTTCTTTTAACTTCAATCTCTTATTACATTCAATTATTAAAGATTGTTGTGAAAATGTGACAAAAGCAATACATCAGGATTATCAGAGGAATTCTTAGCGTAGTATAAGTCGACTAGGGAGATAGAACTATTATAGACACTGTATGTAGAACAAAAAAAAAAAACAACACCCAACCCATTAGTTGTAAGCCTAATCTAATCAGAAGGAAACAATATTATCAGATTTACCCCATCCAAGAACAAATATCTATTAAATATTGAAGACTTGGTTTAAATAATAGATGAGTTTGTAATTCTTTGTGAAATGTCTATGAAGCTCCACAAACCTGATCAATACCACAAGATTCAAGAAATAGACAATAGCCCATGATGTGTGGTGACTGCAAAGATTATGTTTGTGGAGGGTTGCAGTTGTTATATTTGGCCACACTTAATTTGTTTTATGTTCTACTATTGTTGTAATGTCCTATTAAATGATTGGTTGTGAACAGAGTGAGATGGATATTACAACTTATATTAAAATTATATCAAATATTTTTATCATTGTACATGTACAGTCAAATAATCCCATTTTATTTTTACATCGTCTTATATTTAGATGCAAATAATATTATTTCTCAATTAATTGCCATGATATTAGATACTGTTTATTGTGTCTGTGCGTTATATTCTTTTATATTTATCATCATTTTATTTTATTAAAATGGAATTTCACACAGAATTTATTTGTGTTGTAGTCGCAGAATATTAAATACTGCTATAAAATTGTATTATCTAATTGTAGGGCTGATCGATAGATGGTCCTTATCAAAAAGCTTCTGTTTTTAGGACCTATGGAAATAACTGGTACTAGCTTGTACTCTGAAGAATTTAATGTTTTCTTTAGAAATACATGAACAGAACTAATTTGTATATCCAGTACACAATCATGTATGGAGTATTATTTTTGACTTGATAAGTGGATGTGATTTTGGAGACAAATAAAAATCATACACCACTATGAATGGTCCCAATTCCTACCGGTTTGATTGTTTTGATTATCCAAAGATTTTATTTTAAGCCAGTACTAATTAGACAAAAAAAAGTATGGAAGTATTTTTGAAATTAATAAAAGAAGTAAATTTTGTTTTAATTTGTACCCTGGTATAAGAGAGTCGTATGTATTATTGTTTAAAGACTTGATCATATTGTATTATGATGTTGTAAATATTTGTTGTGTATAATGTATACTGATTAATGCTTTAGTTGTTTTATTTTATTTGTTTTATATTAAATGTTATGTTGTTTGTATTGAAACCAGTGTAAAACATAGTCATCTCATATACAAGATGTTTAAGCCATTCAATGTGGTAACTTGTCATTTACAACAATATCATTTAGATTGCTGACTTACAATTTCATTTCGTTTGCTGATTTTATTATTAACGATTTTCTTTAGTTTACTGACTTATAATTTTCACATGATATTTAAAGGAGCCATCGAATATGTTTTAGTGAATAAAAATTGTTAAATATGTTTAAAACACTCTTAGGAATATTTACCCTAGAGCACATCTGAAGCAAGTTGTCGAAAAACTATAAATTAATAAGTTTCTAAACTGACTTCATCAATAATGTGTGCATAACTATATTGATTATAGTATGTCATATAATTACATCATAATGTCCTAAGTATTATTGAGTTATTGGACTATTATAATCAGTATCATTGTTTAAAGGAGAGCTTCAACCATTGCAGCTTCTTTATATTTTATTCATTATTTATACTCGTAAAAGAAACTAAACCATGACTATATTCAGCAAATATACTGTATGTAATGTGATTATAGCCTCTTTCGTGAGGCTCTTGGAGTAGCTCAATGAGCTAAAATTCATTTCATTTCCCTGTAGAAATTTTAGACCCAGTCCACAACTGACTGCCATTAAACAAAGTAGTGCATATACTGTAACATTCATTGACCCCAACAATCAGTGTGTTCTCATATAGACACATTTTTTCAGTGCAGGTAGAACAAAGTCATTGACAGTTACCTATCATCACAGACTGTCCTTGTTTGTTAATTTCAAGAAAAAGGATTTGTTTGTCAGGTTCTGCTTTTATGAATAAAGAAAATATAAAGAATTTTCCTTCAATTAAAAGTAGTTTCTATCAAATAGATAATGTCAATCACAATAAACAGAAGTCATGAAATTACATGGGTTTTCTTTTTAAAAAAAATTCATTTAAAATTAGCTCAAGTGTTGTGGAACATTTTAATTGCCAGTATGTTTTAAAAAAATTGTGACAAATTTGTGAAGTCCCAGAAAGTATGTGTTGTATTGTATTTTATATAGATTATTCTGTTGGCTTTGTAAGTAGCACAATCTATAGACAATTTAAATACTGTAATATTAGCAAAGATTCATATTTTTTATCTTTACTCTTAAGCCAATTCAATGCAGTCTATTAATTTGACAGTATATTAACTTCAAAACAAATAGTATTAAGGCACAACTGTGGTCGTTACGTCAACACATCAGATTGCTTTAGATTTGGATTGTGTGGAAAAGCTACTCATGACGGAAAATATTAAAGGCTTATTTGTTGTTGTATCCTAACAATAAGCAAATATAATTGTTGCCTAAACTGAAGTTATTTGATGTGTGGAACTGTGCCTCCAGTTAAGCTTATATCAACATGTAACTTGATCAATTTTCTACAATAATGCTGAATATATTACTGTATAAATCATATTGCTTGTTATCATATGGAATAAAATATTGTTACCATGTTATTTGCCTTCTATAAATCATGTAGGGTCGTGGTAAGGGCATTGGATTGACATTTAGAATGTCCCAGCATCAGCCAAGGAAAACCTTAAGGATTTTTCTAGCCCTGTCTTTACTTATTAGGGTTGGTACTTGCAGTCCCAAAAGGAAAGCATGCCTAGTAGTGATGTTGGGACTTCGGACATGAAGCAAAATGAGAGCTACCCATGTAGTAATTGGCCTGGAAGTAAAATCATGTTAGTCTCAAAATAACCAAAGGAATATACAGGTTGTGACATCATTTTAATACTCCCACATGGAAATGTGGTCATATATTGCTGTCGCTTCCATCCGTAGCTCGCCCACAATTTCTTGTGAACACACTACAGACTACATTTATTATCTGAACAGTTTGAAATTTATATATGTTGTTTACATTAGTGAGAGAAGAAGCCTATATAATTTCAACAATTTCCGTTCATTATTTCTAGAGTTATGGTCCTTGTTTCTCTTGTAGAAACTTAAGTTATCATCCGATCTGTATCAAATTTACATGCATTATTTGAATTAGTACAATGAAGAAGCCTATCGAATTTCAGCAATTTCCATTGATAACTTCTAGAGTTATGGCCCTTGTTTGACGTTGTTGAACCTTGTGAACGCTCTATCGACAAAAGTTATCACCCCATCCGTGAGAAATTTATAAGCACTTGAATTAGTGAAACGAAGAAGTGTATTGAATTTCAGCAATATCCGTCAATTACTTCAAGGGCTTTGGCCCTTGTTTTACTTTGTTGAAGTTTGTGAATGGTCAAATGACAAAAGTTATCATCCAATCTGTATGAAATTTATATGCATTGTTTAGATTAGTAAAATGAAGACGCCTATTATTAAATTTCAGCAATTTCCATTGATTACTTCTAGAATTATGGTCCTTGTTTCACTTTTTTGAAGCCCTTGTAAGTGCTATAACAACAAAAGTTATTGTCGGATCTTTATTATATTTATATGCACTATTAAGATTAGTAAAACGAAAAAGGTCCATTGAATTTCAGCAATTTCTGTTTCTAACTTCTTGAGTTGTGGCCCTTGTTTTTTTTTGTTGAACCACTTGTGAACAACAAAAATTATCATTTGATCTGTATGAAAATGATATCAGTGTCCAGTAAAAGCTCCTGTTACCTACAAATGAATAAATATGCGACAACCCTTGTCAATGGCTCGGACAATTTAGCTGCTGTGGATGTAGGTTTCATTGCCTGGCAACCTATCTTTGTATATGTTTTCCCCAATTTATGCCTGTTTACTTCCTGATCTGATCTCCTGTGGTTCAATAAACATTTGCTTCAAGCAATATCTACAAAGTTTGACATGGAAAAGTATTTCAGATGAAGCAAAAATTGACATTATACATCAATCTTGGGCACATTCTATAATTCATGATATTTGCAAATAAAGCTTCCAATTAGCAAAGTAGCTTGTTATAAAAATTCTCTGAATAAAATTAAAATCAATCTATTTGGTAATTTTCACATTTAAATTGGACAGTCTCAGGTGATCAAAAGAAACCTATATTTCAATCTATTACTGAAAACAAATTTCTATGAACAAATTAATACTGTCTCTCAATTTATTCACTATATACAATTAATAGACAAATATTCTTTACAATTTAACTTTTATTTTTTAGTTTTGATTTTCTATTTTTCTTTTTCTCCTTTTGTCTTTTTACTTTCACTTTTCTTATTTTTGGATTTAGAGATATTTTTTCAATCATTGGCCTCTGTACATCTTTGTCTTTCTTCATAACAGTAATGGCGTCTGCTTTGGAAGCTGAAATTAAGAATGTAGAAATGCATATTTGGGTCTTACTGAATTAGAGTGCCTGCGGTCTTCTGTTCAATCCAATAGTTTGCTTTAGGTGGGTTGTTAAATCTAATATTTATACTGAATGAAGACTGTAAAAATTATACAAGCTATTATATTATAAATTATAGTTTTGAATTGTCAAGCAATGCATAAATTAAGGGGAATAAATTCCACAAAGCACTATCCCTGTATTTTGATGTTTTTGTTTTCTTAATTAAATGTTTAAAAATAATCAATATTTACCTGCATCATGTAGTGTCACTAGTTTACCCATCTTAGTTGGGTATTTACCAGAGAATGTTCTTGGTGCTAAAGGCTGTTTTAATGCTTGGAGTAAATCAGCCCTCATGTTGACTAGTTTCTTAGCATGTTGTCTCTGTTCCTCATTATCACCAATATCCACTAATCTTAGTTTGTTAATACAAAATATAAACATAGCATTGCCAGAAAACAAATACACTCTGCAGTAGCTTTGTTGCTCATGAAAAGAATAAACCGAATCAACTCTAGAATGTTAGAGCATGACAGAAAGCCTTCAGGGGTTTAAACTTCATTTCAAAAACTTTTCTTTTGAGTGATTGCCAGGGTTCAGATATAGCAGAAATTAATGAATTATAAATTTAAAAAAAGACCTAATAGCAAGCTTTTTCATTATAAATAAAAAAAAACCTGCAGACAATAAGGGTGGGGTCAACATAAAACCACATAAAATTATCAAATTCCCATGCTATTAAACCAAGATATTTATAAAAGATGCATTATGTAAGAGCTAAATCTGCCTATTACATGTGTTTATTTTTGCTTTAAATGTTATATAAATTATTATTTAGACATTTATTCACATGAAAAGCAAGCAATCAACTCTAGATATCGGATGGCACAGATGTAAACAGATTAAAATGTGTTTGCCATTTAATGATTTAATATTAAAATGGAGTCTCGATTAACTAGTAACGTTGTTATGTTAATAAACAATCTATGTCAAAACTTCAAACAGTGATAACGTGGCTCAGAATAAAGTTATTGGAACGAAATTTTCAATATATTAATTTTGAATTATCTATTTATGGCCCTATTATAGCAAGTACAGTCAGTTCTTTATCTAAATCTTACATAATTCATCTTTAAATTTATAAATATTTAACATCTCATTCTTTTTAATAGGATACAGTTTTTCATCTTCTATATCAATCTCCATTTCTTCAGCTGCTTTTGAAAACCAGTCATTCTGTCTCTTTACTTTCATAAATCTATAAATATATTTAATTAAATCTATAAATACATTAACATACATCTAAAAGTACATTAACATAAATCTATAAATACATTTAAATAAACCTATAAATACATTTAAATATATCTATAAATACATAATACAAATCTAGGTACTATTTTTCCCTGTACTTTAGTATTTAAATGAAACAAAATTAATTCAGTATTACAGTACAACTAAGTAGATTGTCTGTTTCTGCAACATCTGAAATTTACAGAATTGTTACATAGGTCTACACCAATGTTACAGTAAAATCCCTATATATAATACATCATCACCTGAGAAATCTGCTAATTTCTAATTCCTAGTACAATACACTTCTGAAATCTTGCTATACTTTTAAAAATATCCTAACTGATGTAAAATTTTGTGTCCTACCTATGGTGTAGTTTATCTATTTCTAATGCCAGGCGTAATTGTGATTTTAATGTTGGTATATATTGATATTCTACAGGAAATACTGGTAATTCTTCATCTATAAACATATATAAAATATAATAAACTCTATATCAAATATAAGAAACTCTAGAAATACTGGTAATTCTTCATCTATAAATACATATAAAATATAAGAAACTCGAGAAATACTGGTAATTCATCATCTATAAGTACATATAAAATATAATAAACTCTAGAAATATTGGTAATTCTTCATCTATAAATATATAAAATATAACAAAATTTAGAAATACTGATAATACTTCGCCTACATATAATATACAATTAGAAGTACTGGTATTTCATGTGTATGTAACAGGCACAAAGCATGACCTCGTCGCAGTCATCTTGGAATTGCGATGTCATATAAATAACTGAAGTCCCGTCTATTGTTGCACAATTGTCCATAGAATAAGCATGTCAAGTTTCATGTCAGTCATATTCAAACTGGCAAAGCATTGGGTTTTTATTAAAGAACATTGTCCATAGAACAAGAAGAAGAAGATTACCAAGAAAAAATATTATTTTATTCAATTATTTTCTTGCATTATTATAAGATCTGTTTTACAAACTATTGTTTTCAATCTTTTAATATTACCTATACTTGGAATTTGGAAAGTGTAATTGTGGCGCCGTAAACTTCAAGAGATCTTAGTTTCGCTTTTTAATTGTAAAAGCTAGACCACTTTTTTCATACATTGACATTTATTTAACAACATGGACAGTACAGTCCAAAGGACAAAAAGTGAAATTACCTCTATTTAGAGTGAATATGATTTTTCTATAATTTCTGACATCATCTTGACTAATTAACATTACACTTAAACCTTCTTTAGTGGCTCTAGCTGTACGACCACTTCTATGTACATAATTCTAGTAAAGTATACAATAAAAAAAAAAATATTGTACCATTCACAAAATATTTACAAGTATCAAATAATTAACAAATAATAACCAAAATATTAACAGATATTAATAAAATATTAGACAATTTACAACCATTGCATTTATAAAACTGAAGTGTGTGAGATTATGGGTTCATTACTTTTCTGCACCAACCAGGCTAATGAAGACATAGTCACATATAATAAATCAAATGCTAATTTGCTTTGGATATATGATAAACTATTTTGAATCAGACAATGCAGGAGAACTGTACAAAAATATATTGACAAAAGCAAATGAAACAAGAATATCAGATAATTAGAGATATTCTTTTGCAAAGAATGATTTGATTAGACTATCAAGAATATTACCTCTATAGTACGTGGAACTTGATAATGGATGACATGCTGAACATTTGGTATATCTAAACCTCTAGCAGCAACATCAGATGCTAATAAAAACCCATCATTACTAGCTGTAATAGTAATAATAATAATTTCTAGAATACAAATAAATTCTTTGGACATTTATTTAGATCAGACTATAATGTGTTCAGATTGTGCTATCTCATCATCTTTCACTTGGGTGTATTTAAAGATAACCACTATTCAGGGGCTTATCCAAGACCTTTTAATTGACAAGCATTTCGAAAAAACAAAAAACTATACAGAATTACAGATATAACCAAACAGAGCTCCAATCTCATAGGTTTGGGGAATTTAAAAGGAAGGAAAATATGCTGGAAATTCAAAGTTAGAAAACATACAGTTCTATGTGTTCTGTGACATTATCTGAAATAAGGGCACTGTGCAGGGCTGGGGCCATTACATTGCCAATGTAATTAATGAAATTACCATTACCATTACTTTTTAAATGTAATCATTACAATTACTTTTTCATTTTTAGCAATGTAATTAATTACCATTACCCATTACATTGAAAGTAATTAATTACCATTACCCATTACTTTATGACTATATAAATAAAGAAACATTTTCATAGAAATTAAAAAGACAACATTGTTTTTCTGCCATGAAGTACCTACAAAATCAAACTCAAAATAATCCTTGATTCACTTAATAGATATTTGTTTATGAATTATTATCTCTAGCAATTATAAAACCAAGGCAAATTTTATAGTGACGGGCAGTGGTGACAAAAACTGACATTTTCACTGTATGACTTGAAAAATGAATCAAAAATATAGTTAATTAACTGTATTTTCTTTTAAGTAATTTTTTAAAAATTTTAATCAGTCTAAATAGTTTTTCTATAATATATTGTATAATAAATGGTAAATTATTCAGCATGACTTTAAAACAAAATATATATTAGTTTTAAGTAACCATAGAATGATGAGATACTTGAAGGTCATTGTTTGGTTTGTCACTGGTTACCTTGAGATTAAGATTAAAGTGCAGTAAGACTATTTATTGTCTTTTAATCTAACTGACTGATTGATTGATTGATTGATTGGCTACAAATTAGTACTAATCTTTGATTATATTATACATATTATCAGAAATCCACTTCTTAGGTTACATGTATAAAAAAAGGTTCCTACATAAAAAGTAATCAAAGAAAATGTTTAATGCCTTCTTATTTTTCTTATAATTTTTTAAAACTGATTTAAATCTTCTTTTTAGAATTATAATGAATTGGATTTGTGTCAGATACACTTAATTACTTCTTTGGTGCTATAAAATTTGAGGCTTGTCACATTGGAAATATTTATATATGTCATAAAATGTAATTGAAAAGTAATTGAAATGTAATTGACCATTACATGATTTTTGGAATGTAATTAATTACATTTCCATTACTCATTACTTTTGAAATCTTCCATTACTCATTACATGGCCATTACTTTAAAAAATGTAATGATTACATTCCATTACCATTACCCATTACCATTACCCCAGCCCTGGCACTGTGACATTCTGTATAATATATTTCTAAATTTAACCTACAAGTATTACACAATAATTACCTACCTGAGAACTTTTCTAGATTTTTTAATCTCTGCTTTTGATGCATATCTGCATGTAATGATAATGGTTTACACCCTAACTCAGTAAATATAGATACTAAACGTCTTAAACAATCTTTACTGTTAGCAAATACTAGAGTTCTACCAGGATATTGTCTTCGAAAATAGTACAGATATAAATCCTGTAAAATTAGATGGAAAGAGCAAAAATATATTAAAGGTGTTTTTATCGACCACTGATTAGCCAAAGTGATTTGCATTCAATCAAATTTTCATCTTTAATGTCCATCTAATTCAAATTGGTTACCCTAATCAACGAATTTATGGACACCGATTCCGAAGCGATTACATCAAATCACCAAATCACATTAGGGTGCGATTTGACGATTCGATTGGGTGATCACATGTTTTTTTCAACTGTGTCCAGCCACAACAATTGTTTACAGCTAATCAGAGCATTTAACGAACTCGCCAAAGTACTTTGAAATCAACTATACTGTCACATGACATCTCCACTAAATTCAAATCGATTTGGCAAGTCGATAAAAAAGCCTTTAGTTTCTGACAAAGGGGTCAAGGCCGTTAATTGCTGGTTTCATATTTTAGGAAATTTTAATTACATTATGAAGGAAGTATCTTAATATAATTAAAGTGACAGAATATTTTTATTATTATCATTTGACAATCTATTTCACTCTAATAACTCTGTAAAAGATGACTGCTTTCAACATATGACGTCACATCACGCAGCGTCAATCATTGGCTCAATGGGGCGTGCATTGTTTACATAAGATGTAACTGGTCTGGGCAGAATAGTAACTTTTACTCATTTTACATACCCATTTACACTAAATAGGACATATTTTTTTACTTACATATACTTCAAACACCTTTATTTATTTTTCTAATGCTTAAAAAAATGTTCTAGAATTTAATAAGCAGAGGAAAAAAGTTAATATTGGGGGCTCATTAAGCCAATCAGTGATTGTAGCAACTGAGCGAATATTCACTGCTGATCAGTGTGATCATTTGACATCAAAGAAAGTGAATGAGGTATATTAACCTTTTCATCCTTAGGGCAGTTTATTCTAGCTTCTGTTAAATTTTCAGCTGTTCCTGTTTTAGTTGTTAAATCTACAATTTTCTTTTTATCTTTAATACCAATCTGATACATTAACAGATCTAGAAAACAATTTCTACATTTATTTATGGAATAAAATTATGAAAGCAAATTGTAAAATTTCTAAAACAACTCTTGACTTGAATGATATATTTCTCCATTTATTGTCATCATAAATGCCCTACTCTAAATCACATATGATAAGCATGATATCATCAACCCCATGACACATATAGCTAACAGACCTTATGATCTAAACTACATGCCAAATGTCATTTCATATTAATTCTGCTCTTATGCTGGCTTGCTATCTACATAAACTTCAATATCTTAAAATCTATTGTAATTTGTCTTGCTTGGTCTGCATTCTTATGTTACAATCCACAATCTTTTCTGACCGTATCAGTAGGTATTTTATTAAGAAAAATATATCTTTTTTTTTTTACAAATCTAGGGGAAACAACTCTAACCTAATTTGTCATCCGGAATCAAAGCCTTTTTCTTTTTCTTCATTTTTCTTGAAGGTCCCTTATGAATCATTGTTAAAGTAGCTGAAAATACCAGAGTCTGTCGCTTTAGCCGTGCTTCATGATTGCTGTTTAAAATAAATATACATGTGATTATAAACTGATACAGTAATATTGTAGTTATAGAAGTCTGAATCCATAAAATGGAAAGTTAATGGTTGAAAGTGCTTAATTGTCAGTCAAGAATGTTTTAAATTGCCAGAATTACAGTCAAGTGTTGGCAGAGAGTCATGATGTAATCAAAAGTTTCAGCTAGTGTGATTGTTTGAGATAGTATCATATTCAGTTAGCGAGTGTCTTGTTACACAAAATTATTGTGTTTACTCTTTTACCCATTTGTATTGAGATAATTGAATTCCGGAACGGAACATTCAATTACATTGAGGCTTTGATTTACAATCAATTTCATAAATAATAACTACTATTATTGCATGTAAAAAGAATGACAGTAATAAATGAAGCAAAAGCCCTGTTATAATAGTATAAATATGACTAAAACAAGGGCTCTGTTATATATGTACATGTAGCTTTCAAAAAATGTTTGAAAAGTAAATAAGTAGCAATATGTAATGAACTGCAATATCTAATTCATAGTTTACAAATTAAATAAAATTTTAATATACTTAATAAAGAACAGGATGTGTCACTTCAACAGATTATAAAGTCCTAACTTTAATTAAAACCGGCCAAAATGTAGATGGAGAGATGGACATTTACATTAAATACATGTTTTAAAAAAATATACAAATCAATGCTTACTCTTTCATAAATTCAAAAAGTTTGGTAAGTTCTTCAAAATGACCTTTCTCTACCATTCTATCAGCTTCATCCACAACCAAAACTTTCACAGACGGTATTTTAATTAAATGTTGGTCACCCTACAGAAAATATAGAATACCATTTTATAAATAGTTGACAAGAATGTAGCATAAAAGAATTTTGCATTAGTATAGTATATCTAACTATTATTAATCATAAAAAATATATAAATTTCTCTATCACTATAAAACAAGATAAGATATAAGCCATTGGTTTCTCAATCTAATAAGATAACTTTTTTATTTTTCGGAATTACAATAATTGAGAAAATGCAATTTATTCCTGATGTTAAACATTATTGTCTATAACTGGTTTAACGATTATCCAGCAGAAGTTGTCTACATTTCTGCTTAAAAAGGTGTGGTCAACATAGAAAATAGTGAAATTCTAACTACATACTTGCAATATTCTTTATAGACGTACAAATAAGGTAGCACTGTTAGATTAAACTATTTATACATTTTTAATTGTCTTGTATATTTCCATACCTCCTGTAATAATTCCCATAATCTTCCTGGTGTTGCAATAATAATTTCGGGGCATTTGCTTAAAATTCTCCGTTGTTTTTGAGGTGCCATTCCACCAACTACTGTTGCTATCTAACAAATACATCATTTAATGTCATTAGAGATAATCCTCCTTTACTTCATGTCAACATTTTATAAAGGGTAAAAGAAGAAAGAGAGACATAGCGAATATTTACTCAACGCATTTAAAACCTTAAAGCAATGACTTGTCTTTTTTATTTCTGTAGCTAAATCTGGTCAAAATATTGACAGCTAAACCTAGGGACATGTAAACATGTTTCCTAGAAAACACACAAACGAGATAAAGTGACATCAACACATGAGTTATAATAAAGACAAGTGGACTTACTTTAACATTGATATATTTAGCAGCTTTAAGAAGATGATTTTTAACTTGTATGGCTAATTCTCTAGTTGGTTCTAGTATAAGGCCTATCAATGGTTTATCTGCATTTACTGTTTGTGATGTAGGATCTAAAACAATATTATGGACAACTCGTACACATCCAACTTGATTTTCCTAAAAACAAAACAAAAACAATCCGAACACTGCATCTTTATAGTCATTAATTTTAATATGCAAACAATATCTTAGCTTCTATTTAGACAAATAAATGCAACTGACATCCAGTTGAACTAGAACTATTTTCAAGTTCCATTAAAAGTACATTAACCATATCAAAGTGAAAATCTCATTAAAATAGTAACAGTGGATGTATTTGATACACTGTTACATACATTCAAACTTTACATGCAAAAGGAATTGCCATACCCTTAATTCTTCAATATCTTCTTCTGTAGGGGGATTATCATAATCTCCATCCTCATCACTACCATTGTCAACACCACTATCAACATCATCACTATAGTCAATCTCATCACTATTGTTCTCTTCATCACTAACACCCCAATCATCTTCAGTGTTAAATTCTGATGGTAGAATGTCTATATTTGAATCACTATCTGTTTCATTTTGAATGATGTTTTTTTGTGACTGTGTTTGTTCTATGAGTGAGTTTTGAACTGTCTGTATGTTTAAAACATGATGTAATATTGGAACACAGAAAGCTAAAGTTTTACCACTTCCCTGTAAAATAAAATATCAATACTGGGTCATGAAATTAATGAATTGAGAAGGAGGTCGACGGAAGGTGTCTTGGAATTAATGCAACGAGAAGAAGGTCGACATAACTGGTCTACAGACTATTCCTTTACTTTATCAACCTATGCCTTGACATGCATTTTTGGACACCAACATTATTCAAATTGATCAATTATAACTCAAGTTATGGTCACCTAAGTTTAAACTGGCTTCTATTGATTTCAGACGCACCATCTTTATCTTATGTAACTATAGTAATAACAATCCAACAGTGAGGCTGATGTCCCCCGCCAAAATCCCAAAATAAATAGATGACACATTAATTAATAGCACATTTATTTTTTTCAAAAGTATCAAACAATCTAACTGATTATCAACTATACACTAACTTTCACCACTCTCTATCAGATAGAATCAAAGTTATCTTGTTCCAAAGTATCGCCCAATGAAATTGCTTATCTCTGCTTAGATTTAGCTTGAAATGTTAAAGTCTCGGCCAATCAAATTGCCTATCGCTCTACTTACGCTGGGCAGAAAATGACCATTATCAAACTTAGTCAAGGTAATTAGAACTAAAGTTATCGTGTCCCAAAGCATCAACCAATCAAATTGCTTATCTCTGCTTACCAATCAAATTGCTTACCTCTGCTTACCCTAAGCAGAAAATGTTCATCTTCGAACTCCATCCAGACACGAACCTAATAAACACCTACACCAAGTTTGAACATTCTAGCTCAATTAGAAGGAGAGTTATTGTGTCCCAAAAAGTGTGACGGATAGACAGACAGACGGACAAACCCATTTTAATAGTCCCCTGCCTTTCGAAGAATTGTGCTATATTTTTCATACAAGCAAGGCCATTTTTATACTCAGTCATGCTTAATTACAAGGTACTTAACCCTTTCACTGCGTATACCCGGTAGTACCGGGTATTATAAAATGTCGGTAAAATGCCCGTACCCGGTATTACCGTGTACTCAGTAAAGCCCTCGCTAAAATTAGTACCGTAACTGCAAGTGCCATCTATTGTATTTTCTATACACTAGAACATATTTCCACGTGTTTCAAAGCGGCAAACCGTAAAATGGCGGAGTGCATTGTGACAACGTAGACGATGCACTCTCGCGAAGTCGTGAATGACGTCTTGCTGACCAACATGTGGACAATTTCGAGGCGGGTGATAAACATAATTCGTTTCCAGTTACTTGATAATGATAGTAGTCAGGACAGTGATTGGTATTATGAAGTGTGTGATTTGTTGCGCGACGTTCCGCCCATGGCTAGCTATGTCTCCCGTGCATGATGAACAAGCCCAATGTGAACACGCTAGCCCTGTGTCTGCAGTAGATTCTGACAATAATTCTGATGTTTATAATAATGCTGGCCTGCTGGATCGTAAAATACGTAGGTAATTCCTGATTCCCGAACGTGTAGATCTATTGACTGACTATATTGATAATGATATAGGACTTGGGGATGAAAGTGAAAGCAAGGTATTGCAATCCGCACGTGGTCATGGCAGCGGGAGACGTGATGCGCGTGTTCGCGGCGGCATTGCTCATGGCTGCTATTGATATTTTTGTTCATTTTATATATCTTTATCAAAATCCAGTAAAAAAACCAATATCTTTTAAGTATTTCATGGAGAAAAATTCGTTTTCGTGTTAGCTTTAGTGTGAAATGAGAAATCCAAAATGGCCGCCATGACGTCACGTGACTACATTATTATGCAAATTTCCAAAATTCTATTTTTTCCTCTTAGCCCAACCTCATGCCCATCCCAACAGACAAAAAGATTTTTCATAAAAGCTTCCATAAGTACTGCTTGGCATTCAGTTCCAACCTCCCTTTTTTCCTCAAAAAAGGGTCTAGCACAGGCAGTGGATTTACGTCTAGCATTGAAAGGGTTAATAAAAATAGTGCACATTGTTTAATTCTGAAATATATGTTGATGATCTGACCTGTTGTGCCTTTAAAAAGAAAATTGCAAGCCCTTAGTGCTGACTATACGTACTTACAGTTTCAGCAGCTCCTACAATATCTAACCTATCTCTAATAGCATGTGGTATAGACAGAGCTTGTATAGTAGTTGGTGACATAAAACCTTCATCTTTTAGAGCCCATAATACAGGATTAGGTACAAACAAATTCTTCCAGGCTTCCATTCCTAAAATATATCCATAATTAATACCAATGGTAAGCTTATTGAAACATAAGTTATATACATTGTTTTTAAAATAAACAGTAATATTATTTAAAGCAAGGGTGATATTTTCAATAATACAATGTTTCAGTCATTTTGAGACTAACATATGCTACTTTTTGTTTTCTATGCTAGTTAGAAATTTTGCTTAGACAACGCTATTTTTTAAACTGGCAGTTGGAACAAGGTTTAAAAAAGATATTTGGCTTCCAACCTAAAATGGAATGTGGGGGAAAACACATTAAACAAAAAACAAGCGAACAAGCGGTTACATGCAAGGTACGCCCACCTTTTGCATTAAATGGACAGAGGAACATTCTACAGTCAGACGCCATAATTCATGAAGTTACAGTCTGTTACATGTACATGCCGAAATCAAAAGCAACCAATGTGGGCGTATAACAAAATAATTAATGTGTGTAATTTGTATGTCAATAGAATTGGTATATTAAGTTAAAGATGCATTATGTAAAATTTAGATAAAGAGCTGGCTGTTCTTGCTAACATTTGAGGCCTAACTAAAGAACATGTGACATGAAATAGTTACCAGTGCTATACAAGTTATTTTGTACCGGAATTTAGAATAAAAGAATTATCAAGCATTGATTCAGCCCCTAGCGATTCGATACAGTGTATTATGGGAAGGTGAATCACAATGATATATCATGCCAGTATTACTGAGGTGATCTAGAAATGAAATGGGGTTTAACGTCCTACTGTTCTGCTCCGAACTGGGCTAATGAAGACGGGCATATGCCATACAGTGTGCTATCAGGGAAATTTTGCCCGGACAGCGGCACTATGGCCTACTCTTATATCGAATTCTAACTGTCAAGGGATCTTTTATGTGCATGCGTGTATACGGGACCTTGGTTTTTTCATCCCATCTGAACAACTAGACAGCTATCCTTGCCAGGCCCTCTGTTCTGCATCACTGACAGGGGGGAACCATGTCGTAAAATCTGGATGAACTTTCTCGGCCAATGCAGGGATCGAACACCTGACCTCCAGGCTAGCGACTCATAGCAAGCCAGCGTCTTACCCACTTAGGCACCGTGACCCCCAGGTGATCTAGATAATAAGTAACCTTCAATATTATAAAAATATTAAAATAAACTAACGTACCTGGTGGATATTGTTGTAATGGGGGTAGTGTTTCTGGCATTATATTCTGAGCATTATAATTCTCACTTTTCTTTTTCTGCTTTTTCCTTTTCTTTTTATTTTCTGAAAAATACAGCTGCCTAATACAATTAACTGATACAAATCCTATAAAATATACTGATCTCTGATAATACTATTTTATAGACTATTGTCTATGAATCCAATACATACAAGAACTTAATAATGAAAGCAAGACAATTCCTTTTACAGCAATACTGTTCACCTTTTAATAAATGTCAATTCCTGCAAACATTTCATCAGTTTCAGTATTTTCACTGAGATTTTTGATTATAAATTTATTAATATCAGAATCAATTCAAATTCAATAAATAAACTCAGGCCAAATAGGCAGTGACAAGTATAATGACGGGGAGTAATCACTAGCGTCACTTCGTTGTTGTTGTATACATTTGTAGATAGACAGTAATGAGGTTTAACATCCACCCAACACATGAGGTTTAACATCCACCCAACACAAACTAGGTCATTTTGGGACCAACATATCGTTCAACTTTACTTCAATAATTCACTTGAGCATCGGGGTCTGTAGCAGTGTGAGAAAACCGGAGGACCTGAAGAAAACCCACGAGGTTGGACAGGCAACTCTACTCCTTGTCACATACAAGCAGGGAATTGAAACCACACCACCTGACGCAATGACAGACCTTATGATCCAACACGCACACGTTAACCATTCGCCCACCAATATACATTTATACTTAAAGATGCATTATGTAAGAGCTAAATCTGCTTATTGCAGATCTTTATTTTGGTCTCAAATCTAATATAAACTATTATTTAGACATTTATTCACATGGTAAGCTTATAATCAACTCTCTAGAACATCTGATGGCTGAGTTTTAAATAAAATGGATTAGACCACCCGCGAGATTATAAAATTTAACAATAAAATGGATAATATATTTAGTCGCAAGTACCGTTGCTACGATAATAAACAATCTACGCTACATCTTAAAACACTCAAAACTTCACTCAGAATAAAGTAATTTCAATGACATTTTCAATTTATCTATTTTAAAACTACATTATTATTGCAAGAATGACCAGTTCTTTATCTTAATCTTACATAATGTATCTTTATTCATTTCCTTACAAAAAACAACCTTGGACTGGACTACTTTAAAAACAATAGATTTTTTATACTTCAGGACATCTGTTAAGTCTTTATATGAATGTTAAAAAGTGTAAATTTTTACCTATTAAATCTGTATCACCAGCTTTTCGTTTTTTAGCAGTTTTTACATCTGTAACTTCTGAGTTTAAATTAATTACTGTGTCTGATTCGGTTTTCTCAATTAATTGATCTTCTTTTTTCTTTCTAAGTTTTTCTTTCTTCTTTTTCTTCTTTTCCTTATTACGTATTTTCTGCTTCTCTTTGTATGTAAGTTTCTTTTCAACAACCACTGGTGTTTTAATCTGTGGAAGTTCTGATTTGAATTCACTAAATTCATCATCATCATCATCATCATCATCGTCATTGATCTAAATACAAAGTCAAATGAAATAATTGCACACAGCAAATTTATGGAGTTATTAAAATTACTGGTTAATGCACTAATTGCTTGGATCGTCTTCATTTGTCACATGGCCTATTTTCACAAAGCCAAGTTACTAGACCTACTCCCTTGTATATTAACGGGATTATCAAATTTACTGTTAAATGGTTTTCAGCTACACTGCGGCGTGATACACTGTATTTAATTTCTACGGGATTTTGTTTATTCATTCGCCCAGTAACAAATTTAATCACATGGGTGTGTGGACGAGTGTATTTTGATATTTGTGGACGACTTAACTAGACTTTTCGTGTGGACGAGTTTGCTTGTGGACGATTAACTGGCATTCTCCATGCCTAGTTGACATTTTATATGGTACCGGGTACAGTTGCACAGCACTGAGTGTTTTAAATGCAAATCAGAGAATGTTTATTTTTTCTACATTTGATAATTTTTTCTACATTGACTTTTTAAACCACAGAAACTGAGTAGGCTTAATAAACATTTCTAAAACTCTTACCACTAAACCACATCTCTGGTTCCTTAAAATCAAATATTTCGAAAAATAAAAAAGTTATCTGCTCAGTCTCATAGACTCTTGTGACATGCATAATTTTTTACAACAATTCACTTTGACAACTTTTATACTACTGTCTGAACCGTCATAATTTATAAAACTGAGTGTGTTTGATGAAATCACCTAAGATTAAATAAAATTCATTGTACAATTAAATATCCCAACGAATTAAAAAAGTTCTCTCTTGAAGAGTCGATGTTTCTGCTTGTATTTTCATCAAAACATGGCACATGACATGTCAGGTGATGAGCGAAACCATCGTAAGATGTAGGAGGGTGATCAGGTAAAGGTTGACAAATTTTGACAACCATGTTTTGCTTGTATTTTCGACTGTCTTGATCACAACATTGCACATGTCACATGATGAGCTAAACCGTAGTAATATGTTGAAAGGGGGTAAATGTTGACAAATTTTGACAATCACGTGAGTTGCAATCACAATGAATATATCACCGATTACACGAATACTCGTAAATATAATATTGCTTTTCTCATCATCATCACCTCATAATTGTAAATACTCTGTATATTGTATATATTTTGATAAATTATATTACATCCCTGTCAATTATAGGCAACTTTGTGGCTAATATTCATAAATAAACACACTTTATTTCATAATTCTAATTGATAAAATTTCATAACGGGTTCTAATCCCAATTTTAATTGACCAAATTTCATAACGGGTTCTAATCCCAATGCTCTCTGGTTATTAGTCCATTTTCAAAGTTTTATGAATGATTACCACAAAAAAATATGAAAAAAGGCCACCGCTTCTCAATAATTTCCATATTTAATTCACGTTCAGACTGTTCATGTCAATAATATTCCTGATTAAATTACTTTGTTTTATTGTTTATTCGACAGATACTGAAATCGAAACATTCTTGTTAAGAACAGTTCGGGATATCTAAACATCGTTTATCCTCTTTATAAAAATGGATTTAAAACAAAAAATCACTCGTCAAAAGAGGCATCACAGATTGCGTGTATTATTGGGTCTTGTGTGTTCATTATGCAGACCATGGGAAAAACTTGTATAGGTTTCGCGCCAAATTTAACCATTTTCACTGCATCTGATTAGCATACAATAACTCATATGGTGGGGTACCTTTCACAGTGATAGAAATCAAAGCGTTGATTGACTTAGGCATGATCGCAATCTACGTAATAACATCAGAAAATTCCATTCTCCATGGATTTCAAAATGGAGTTGTACTTGTGATTAATAGTTAATAACTGAGAGTAAAATCGTATGGAAACATTGCCCTGTGAATTTCAAAACGAGACGTAGGATTATAAAATTCTGAACAGAAATAACATTTGAAGAGAAATAGAAAGACATCGAATTATCTGCCGATAATTAAACCGATGTGCAATATGATTTGTTGATAATAATTTTTGGTATTTATAAAAAGAAAACTGGAAAACGATGAGGGGTACGGCAACACTCCCTTGAATAAGTAGAAAAGCTGGACAGGCTGGTACATCTGCGTAGGATCTGGATCAAAAAATGATGCCGGCGGGGCGGAGTAGTAGAATAGATAAAATTAAAGAATCCCCGCCAAACAGAACCAGCAACAGACTTGTTGATTTAAAAGATCTTTATATCAATCCAACGTTTCGGGTGCAATACCCTTTTTCGAGAATGATTTTTTGTGAATCCTGTGTCGCCTTATATACAAACAAAAGAGATGACGTCACAGGATTGTTAAATTTATTAATGTACAATGATTGGTTTGAAAGAAAAGGATCGTTAAAATTAAGGATTGTTAAAAACGAGGATCGTTAAATTTATTTGTATGTACAAAAAGGATTTTTAAAAATTAAATTTGGCGGGGATTCTTTAATTTTATTTATAAAAAGAAATAACCTTATTTACCTATTCAATGGTCTCAGCTATTAATATTGCCGGGGCAAATGTAAAATACATCGGCATTTACAGATTTACCTCGGCTACAGCAAACTGCCGAGGTTAATTGACAGGACTGCTTAAGTTCATCAGGAAATATTAAAGATATTCAAGGCCAAGGGTGAGATTCAAGGCTCTTAAAACGAATGTCGTTCTTTTTGTTCTGCATCTGTGTTCAAACGAAATAATCTCACCCAACTCTCTAACCAAATAATTAATACAAGACGGAAACAAAATAACGGACTATGGGCGTATTTATGTTTGTAAATGCCCAAACTCATTACTGGGTCCGAGAGCAATAGCTTATTCATACACAAAATTTCAACTGTCGTACAAAACGTTACGATAAACAAGCCTTCCTGCGACCCCCTTATACGAAATAATCTATCTCGATATAAGTGATTTAATTAGCTTCCCTTTTAGTATTTCTCGATGTTTGTGTGATGAGTTCAATTTAGCAAGAGAGAACTTTTTTTTAGTCGCTGGGATATTTAGTTGTACAATGGATTTTATTTAACCAGAGGTAATTTCAACCATACAAGTAAGTTTATAATAACCAAAGTTAAAGGAACTAAATCGCTAATATTTGGGACCTAGAAATTTACACAAATAGGTCGCAACGCATATAATAATCTAATACAAATGTATATAAACTGATTTGCATTCAATCGGTTTTTTTTTGACTGTAATTTCTAATCAGTTATGTTCGGCGAAATACGCCAGAAGTCTCAATCGAATGGCAATCCCTAGCGTCTGGTTATTCCAGTCTGCATAGATAGTATTTATTGCGTATGCAATCCAGATAAGAATATGATGTCATGTTCTGACTATTTTTTTCATAGGTTTGTATGTGGATTATGGATTAAGGTTAGGGTAGTAGTCAGATCAGCCAACAATGCCGGAATATGTCTAGCCTCCTTCTTCGAGTCTCCTGTTACAAATGGCACTGAAACGCATTATGGTACACGATTCGTGTTGGCTACCAATGATAAAATGTTTATTTTGTTTTACATTTAAAGGAGCTAAATCGCTAATATTTTGGACCTAGAAATTGACACAAATGGGTCGTAACGCATATAATAATGTAATGGGAATATATATAAACTGATTTACATTCAATCGTTTCCATTTTTACTCTAATTTCAAATCAGTTAGTGAGTTACGTTCGGCAAAATATGTCAGAAATCTCAATCGATTGAAAATTTCTAGCATCTACATAGTATTTATTGCGCATACTCTCCCGATATGAATATGACGTCACCGTTTCACATGACTTGTTGAATGTCTAGCCTTGTTCTTCGAGTCCCTTGTTTGGGCCTGAAACGCATACACGATTCGTGTACCAATGGTCAAATGTTTATTTTGTCTTAAATATTGGATATCAGAAGCCAATCTTTTCCCGGTAAGATCACAACATCAATGTAGCGATGCTAAACGCCGCTAGGAGCGCTGGCTGTACTATTTACAGACATCACAAAAAGTTGACCGAGAAAAGTATACGCCGTGTTACGCCTTGTCATGAATATTCAGAGTGTCAAACATCGACCACGTGATGTTTACCATCGAGAAAAATAGATGAACTTGCTGTCGAGTAGGATTTTGAGAAGCTGAGGTAAGATTTTCTGATATTTTTCATGAATTGAAAATTTGAAGTTGAGAGAAATTTTCGAAAAAGGCCCTCGACGCTCAAGATTTTGGTATATTTGGAAAGCCCAATTCATTAACTACTTATTTTGACCGTTTGTTAAGTCCGTATCCCCCGTAGGAATTCGTAAAATGGCTGAAATTGAACCATGTGGAATTAAAGGGAGGTAACTCGTGGTTGATCAGCATTCTCAAGAAAGTCCATAATTATTATAAATTTGTTATGAATCATAGAAGTTAGTTTAATTTATTGTTTGAAATCAGTATTAGTAATCTTATTTTTGTTATTTCAATATTTGTGATAATATTTTTTTTATTTTTAACATTTTCTACCTGAAAGAAGTGGCCTGATTCGTCAAATGTTTTTGTTTATTTTGAAAAATATCGCATATGAATAATGTGATTATTTTATATTGTTATTATTGTTTGTTTTTGTAAGAAGATACATGTATTAGAAATCTTATATTTGTTGATAAATGTGATAAAGGTTTCTTTTTTTTTATCATTTATTTTAAACCGGTGGGTGAACATTTTTAATTTCATATTGAAAAGTAACAGATATGAATTTTGATCTTATCGTGATTTTTTTAAAAATATTTTTATGACATAGATAATGTCTCGGCAAGATGTATCACCATCTGAATGTTTATATTGTTTTTATTTTCATGGGATAATGTCTCAACAAGAAAGCCAGACTTCTACCACTGATATTATAATATAGTATATCGTAATGCACATTTATCACAAATGAATTTTTTTAATACTCTTTCATGTAGATCATATCTTACTTTTTATAAGCTTACCTTTTAATTTGTTATTAAGCACAGTACATTATGTTTTTATCATTTTGCATATTTATCAGACAATTGAAGTGATCATGATACTTATTGTTTAGGATTATTTGGACTCTTTTAAGATATTCAAATGTTTTAATTATGTTTATATTACTGTTTTTATTTGAAATTGTAGTGATGTTGATCACAAAAATATAGCTGTTATATAAATCATAGTTTAATTGTTAATTTTCATTCCTGAAACAAACAATCTCAAATTGATGTACATGGCAGCTTATAAACAACTAAAGCAGTTGGCGTGGCAAAGGCGGCAAATCTGCCAAAAGCTTACAGGTTTATTTCTCATTTTGCCACACACTTTTATGATTTTTAAAAATATCCACAGTATACGTTAGTATAACCGGTTTATAATTGTTGTATGACTGTGAATGGCCAGTGGTCAATGGCCTCGGAACCAGTAGGTGCCCAATTACATACATGTACATAAACTTGTTTCTCTTCGACATTGACATCATACGGTCAAAAATTGTGATTTAAGGTGTTGTCATGCAAAAAATAAATAACAGAACAGACTGAAAACACTTTTATGTGTGCTTATTCATTCAAAAATAAGCCTATGTATTAATGTCAAAGCCCTACAATTTAAGTACACACAAATTTGTCCATTTTTTTGCTGTGATTTGTGCGAAATCGGCACGGATCCCAACTTTGAACCTCTGTAACATAAAAAGTATATACTAGAATATTATAGCGACAATTTGGCTTTATCAAGTACATCTAGATCTTTAATTAGTGCAATTTTCATAGACCTATCTTGTATAGTTACTGAGATATTGGCTTCGGTCACTTTTTTGCGTTTTTTAAAAAAAGCCCTTTTTTAAAGCCTCTGGTTTGCCTTCTTTAAAACGCTATAACTTTTTTAATTTTCGAATTTTTTTCAGATTATTCATTCTAGATAGTTCACAATTGCAGTATCATTGTCATTTTTGAGTCATTGGTTGTATCTGAAAACCCGTTGGCAATGCTAATCAATGTTGATTTAAATTAACAAATAATTCGTGTTTTCAATGTCGAAGATTTTGGATGATATTGAGTTAAAGACTTAGCTACCGTACTTTAAATATCAGAAGGCCATCTTTTTCCAGTAAAAAAAAAAACAGATCATATTTACCTCTAATGGAAATACATTACTGAGTTCATAATCGTACAATTCCTCTAGAGCTACAATATTTTCAAACCCTTCTTCACTAAAGGCAGACGATGGCAATTCAACTTTTTTCCACTTGCCTTTAACTTTCACGTGTATGGGGGCCGCCATGTTTCTTAAATTAGAGTTATCCTTCCGGATTTAGACAAGTCGGACAAAAGACCAGTCGGACCAACAAAAAGACCCGGGGACGGGTGTTCAAAGCTCCGCTAACTTATAACGACTCATTCACATGGAGTTAAAGGACATATAGAACTGGTTAAACACATTTCAAATATTATTTTATCACAGAGATCATTGAGCAAAGCACTACGATAGAGGCGTAATCAATGCTTCGACAAGTTTATTATATTGGAGATTCACTTGAGAGTTTTCACAATATATGAAGTGTTTGAATACATAGATGTAATTAAATCGAAAATCGATCCGTTGATGTTATTTTTTCAGTAATTTATAAAATCGGCCTGTTCTGGAAACAGAGTCAAAGACTTTTTAAAGTCCACAAAGGACATGAACATATTCTGTTTCTTACACTTAAATTGGTTAATGATAATCGTTTTCAGTTTATATTTCCTAAAAAAATAATGCATTTGCCCTTTAAATGGTATATAACATTATACTTGGAATTTGATTTTTCATAAACTAATATTGGAAAGGAAAAAATGGGTAACTTTTCGATTGTAATAAAGGTAATGTATTCCACTGAGGAACGACTAGTTCTTGCTATTTTTCTCGTTTCATAACAGGATAGTTTGAATAAAAATGGCATAAAATAACATTATTCGAACAAAATATAGGCCAATAGTATACGTAATGGAGTGTGTCGGCATATTTCGAGATTGTTAAACGCGCGGTCACCTAAACGTATCTTCTAACTTCAACTATAGATTTATGTGTAGAATGTGCTTTGTGGGAAATTTTGCTAGGACAGCAATTAAATTTCAACTGTTAAGTTTTTTTTTACGTGCAACTAACGTGTACACAGGACTTAGGTTATTTTTCGTCCAATCCATAATGGGTTACCACGCTGGAAAATCCTGACATCGAACTGCGAACGGCCTGGTTAGTGATCCAGCTCGTTACACGCTTGGCAAATTCTGAGTTCGCAATTTCCACGCAATTCATTAATTGGAGCTACCTGGACTATAATTACACTGTAACATACAGAAGTGTATTTACGCCTACTGAAATCAACTTTTAACAATTTAAAATAATATTTTATTTTCCAGGATCCAGAACTAAGAATGATATTCGAAAGAATGGGAAGAAACTGGAAGAAAAAAGACCACGTACAGCTTTTATCGCCAAACAACTGTCCAAACTTCAACGCGAATTTGGGGAAAACAAATATTTAACTCATCCTTAACGAAATGAACTCGCAGAGAAACTGAAATTGAGCGAATCGCAAATAAAAATATGGTTTCAAAATAAACGAGCGAAGCTCCAGGAATCGGCCATTTTGTGGTTTCGATTCCCCGGTTATACATGACAGGGAGTGGGGTCGCCTGCGCAACCTCGTGGGTCTTCTCCGAGTCCTCCGGTTTCCTCCCACTGCTAAAGACACCTACGCGCAAGCGAATTATTGAAATAAAATTGAACCATATGTTAGTCCCATTTTAAATATATAATAGTGTTATAAAATGACCAGCTTACACTATGTAGACTTTGTCACCAGCTATTTCTAGATCAGAAAACCAGGGATTGTTAAAGGGACAATAACACTCTTGCTGGCTTGAAAGCTCCAGAAAATAAATAATATCTCTATCTAAGTACTAGATGTTTAAGTGTCCTACCTGTTGTGTAAATTATCCATTACATCCTATTTTACTTGTCCAGAGGGTTCGAAAATATTTTTAAATCGAAGTTTCATTTGAAAAGGTTTACGTTAGACGTTTCAAACCATTATGTTGAATTTTTCAAAATTTTTAAATAAGGTGTGTTAAGATGAAATTTGTATCATCAATTAATTGAAATATTCTAAAATAGTACAATTTGTTGACCAGAATAAAGATTGGGACATATTATTCAGTTACAACAAGAGTGGTATTGAGCCTTTAACAATTGTTATGCTATAGATTTTAGACTATCTGGTTGTAGTTTTTGTTTTAAAATATTTCTTCAATAGTAAGTGCTGGAAGACTGGTTATTTGATTGTCATCTTTATATTAAAAAGGATGGCAGATTTCAACAGGAGAATTAATTTCGTACATAATATCGTATTCAAAAACACCCTGAACTCGAAAATCCACGAACTGACATTTTTGATGAGTGGTCGGTAAATTCTAACACCCACTATAGGCTATTGATATATTTGAACCCGGGACAGTCTAGTTGCGAATCGGGTTCCCTAAACATGTAAAAAGGTCAACCCCCTTATACATTTTTATGAGACAATTGTAACATGTTGGACCCTTTTTCATTATGAAGATCACCGGAATGATAAAAAAAAAATGATGCGCATGGAAATCATTGTGGACAGAATTTAACAGTCACGATCCTAGTTGGCGAAATGGTTGACAAACAAGCAAGAATCGAGAGCTATGCATGCCGTGACCCTTTGGTCCCTTTTCTCAACTGACATTACTATGTACACTTTTGAACTTATGAAGTCCTTTCCATCGTAAAGATTTTCGCTTGAATGAAGTCCAACTTATCTAGTTTTAGTGTTATCCAAAGTGCATCAGCGGAAAAGGATTCAAAACATAGTAAAACGCACATGGTTTCTCCGTGTCAGTGGTGTACGACGGAGATCTGGCAAATACAGCTGTCAAGTCGTTAGGATAAGACGAGAAACCGAGGTCATGTGTACAAATTGGCGTGCACGTAAAAGAACCCTTATCAGTTGGAATTCGATTTAAGAGTAGACAATAGTGCCGATGTCCAGGCAAAATTTCCCACATAGCAAACTGTATGTCGTATGCCCGTCTTCATTAGCTTAGTCCGGGCAGAACAGTAGGACGTTAAACCCCATTTCATTTCAACCTGTAAATTTAATGTTCGGAACGAAGGATTTAGTGTTGATTGATATAAACTGAGGCCACAAGCCACAAACTATCCAATCACCGACATTGTTACAATTGTTTTCCAACCACAGATTACAGTTCACTTTTGTCAAGTAAGTCTTATGATTCTTTTATCCAGACGCACTGTGAAAGAGATACACAGTAAGCGTCTGGGTAACAGGGAGGTCAGATCACGTGAAGAAATCTTATTGGGTTGCGTCACTGGGCAACTCACAAACGGACAATTCAATTTTAAACTAGCTGACGAACAGAAGGGAGGTTCTTCTCTTTAGGTAGGTAGAAATAGGTTTTTAATTAATTATGTATTTCTGTGGCCTACATGTTGTTTTTCTAAATTTTTGATTTCTATTTTGTTCTACCTGTTTTTTAAGGTTGTGTTCGTATTTAAAAAAAAAACAAACCCAAAACTCTGATGTATAATAATAGACTTGAAGTAAAACTATTATCGCGACATAAATAGTGTTGGCGGTAGCTCACAGAGGAAAAAAAATCAACAATGTTTGATAGTAAGCATTAGGGCCTACCTGATTTATCCCCAAATAAACAGATAAAAAAGAAAATCCCAAATTTTGAAAAACCAGAATAACATACAAAAAATATTTGTTTTTGAAAAATCAAATACCCGCGTTCTTGTCCCCATGCACCAATGGGCACCGCAGTTTTTATCTCGTTGTATCACCCCATCAACTTCTCCACGTATAATAAGTGACTGGTTTGATCTTTTGTTTTTGATAGACAATCTCAACCAATTTTTCATTCTAGTCTCGAGAATAATCTCATTCAACAAAAAAGGGTGGTAATTAAAGACCATGGCGATGGAGATTGGAAGAAGGCAAAATCTAGTATAATAAGTTACCGGTTGGTGAGCTTTTCTAGAAGTGTTTGATTTGAATATATATTTAAACGTCCTTTTTTTCTAGAAGAAAGATTTCTCTATTTATACCCCAACATTGCTCTCACCCATGTCCATTCACAATTCTTGTAAACACTCTACAGGTTATTTTTGTCAAGATTCTTTTCAATACTTGTTCGGCTGGTCAGTGTCATAAAGAGTAACTCCATCATAGGCACCTGTAATGTGGAAAATCTTTCACAAAATAACATTAAGTTGTGACTAAGTAAAGTGTTTGAAATTATTCACGTGACCGTCTTTAAGTCACGTGGAAATTTTTTAAACGTCATCGTAGACTCAATTGTCTACCTAGCGAAATTTAGTGAGTATTGTCACTGGTTGACGCTAGAGTAGTTAACTTTGATCCCAATTATTTAATTCCAACCCGTTTCTCACCTTGATATTATATCTACTGAAAGAGAATCTGTTTCAGACGAGTTATTTGCCCCTTAGTTAGAAATCGGAATCAGATCAATAATTTGATAATCTTGCTTACGAACATGGACGTAACAGACTTTAGACATAATATACTTAGTCAAGGCTTGATGTTATTTTTGAAATATTTTCCACATTAAAGTATTTCATATCAAAATAATAGTCAAGATCAATAAAACAAACCACAGAAAAAACACAGGCACATTTTTACAACAGAGAAGCATATGAAATTATTTTATTTTTGATTTCAGCATGGACCATGATTTCAGGTTACCTCATTGCTGAAAGATATGTTTTTGTTTAAACAAGATGTTTGATGTAAGATAGAGGTCCATGTACGTAATATATTTATCTTATTCTGAGCTGTCCTTATAAATGAATAAATGATTCTATTGAAAAAGTTATTGATGTCGGGTCAACATATATTTTTCTGGAGTTAGAACCAATATGTTTGTAGTAATGAGGTCGGAGTAATAATATCTGGCGACAATTTACCCTATACTCTACTGGCATTAACATACTATTTTGTTTGTATGTTTACAGTATAAATTTGTTAAATAGTGATTACTTAAAAATATTTCTTAAATGTCATATTTCATATGGGCAAGTTTACAAATAATTTACTTATTTTTGTTCTTTTTTTTATTAACAGATCAATCTAAGGGAGATAAGATTGACATTAGATGGTAGAGATGATGGTCAAACCCATGGGTAAAGATGAGACAGTTTTATATCATGGATCAGGTAATCTTCAAAGCCAAGTCCTGGTTG